ACCAGAATGAAATAGGAATCGATATTCTTCTAGAAATCGGTATAAAATTAGAATTCATTGCTAAGAGAAATAAGGACACATTGTTAAATACATAATATACACCTTCACATTTATTTTATATCTATGTGTATGTGTGTATAAATATGCAAATAAAAATAGCTCAGTACCTTTATTTTCTCTGTTTGTCAACCGATTTCCGTTTTATTTGTTTAGTAGCTATCCTTCCGTCTGTCCGTCCGTTCGTCTATCAGAGGGCTATATCTTATGAACCGTAATAGGTAGAAAGTTAAAATTTTCATACAGTATGTATTACTATTGCCGCTATAATAAGAAATAATAAAAATAAATAAAAATACCAGACAATTTTTTTTAACGTTCGCAATCAATAATCAAAGTTAATATACAACATCCATAGAGTAAAAGTCACATTAATAAAAACTACATATACGATTGCACGGAATCCTTCGTGTACGAATTGGACTCGCACTTGACCGATTTTTATTTTATATATACATACCTATCTAGGTAAATTCTATTGGTTTTCCTCAAATTCTTATTAATTATTTTGGTCGGTATTTTCGACCACTGGGCGAATACTGTCTAGTAATATTAAATTGATTAAACAATTTATTATTAGTATCGACAACATTGTGGAAATAGGTCTTTCGAGAGTTCTGAAATAAAAGCTTTTCTTGCCCCATGAGGGTAGCTATTTAATAATTACGACATACAATACCTAAGGATGAAACTAATAAATAATTTAAGTTCATTAATGAATATCTTAAATAAGCTTATTATGAATAAATAATAGTATTATGGACTGAAACTTTTAACCCTTTGGGGCTTTGTTTTGTTGAGATAGTGAAATTAAAATTATAATATACTAGTAACTTACCGTCGCTTCGTTCGGGTTCGTCCCTAAGTACGTTTGAACGGTTAGTATGGAATAGATAGACTATATATTATATATACATAGGTATAATGAGTTGTTGTGGGTTGTATTATAACGTATTTTCCGTGGGAATTAAATATTCTCCAGCGGTAAAAAGTAGCCTATGTCACTCTCCAGCCCACGAACTATCTCTATACAAAATCACGCCAATCTGTCACTCTGTTTTGACGTGAAAGAAGAATAAGCAAACACACTTTCACACTTATAATTTTTCACATATAATATGAAAAATTAAATTGATCCGTTGCCACAGTGTTGTGTGTAACATTTTATAAGCGTACAAGAGTTAATCCTTTACATTAGTAGTGTATCTAATCACCTAAATGTATTTACTAGGGATAAGATTTTGACATTATTTTGTGTTGGTTATATGTCAAATATCTATCTCTTGCAAGAAAAAAATCAGATAGATAGATTATTGAAAATCGTCATAACTTACGTCTGACTAAAGTAAAGGTCGGTCATAAATATGTAAAATGGATAAAAACGATTAGAAAACTTTAGGATATATCCTAAAGAGAATGTGAGCTTTAATCTCCATTTTGAACTAGAGTCTATGCAAAAAGTTAGAAAGTCTTGAAATTCCTTTAATATTTTCTTTTCAGGCCCTTTGTGCTTGCTTTGTACCTTTGTCTAGTCCATTGTATGTAAGTTTTTGCTATTCTTCATTCCCTGATTATTTCGCTTGTTTTCCTCTTTTGAACATTTGGTGAAATTTTTGAAGTTTTAATATCACTAGTGGCATGCTACGTTTATGTTGCTCTATATATTTAGAAAAAAGGGTTTGCCATACAAATTTTTAAACCCTTATATAGTTATGTAGTATTCTAAGCAGATAATTAATCTATACATATAATAGAATTATTGTAACTAAGCCAAATCTATACATTAAATCTTTTTTGGAAAATATTATTGAAATAGACATTATTATCGACACAGAGGCCGAATCTATAGTTTTTAGAATTTTTGTCTGTTCGTCTGTCCGTGACCGCATCACGGAAAAACCACTGGAGGGATTTTGATAAAATTTGGTATGATGATAGCTGGTTACCCTGGTCAACATATATGATACATTTTACAGCGGGAAAATCTCTGGGAAATCTATATTAAACGTTAAATCGAACCCGAGCGGAGCGAGGGTGAGTCGCTAGTTAAAATTATAATATTAGGAAAATATAACATTGACTGAAATTGTTATAAGAAAGAAATATAAATAAGAACAGAAAATAAATTTATTTGTAGAAATGTTCACTTAGTAAAAAATTTTTTTTATCGTAAACAAACACTTTCAATATTAAAATTCACTTCGAGATAATTAACAGGGAGCCTTCAAATGAAATTTAATTTATTAAGAAATTTTATTAAATAATTAATTATTCTTCGTCTAATTAAACTTTTAGCTTCCGGTGCGATATTGATCGGTCATTCATACTTTATATGGAGGGTTTGAATTTTTGTTTGTAATGTCAGCTCTCCTACGTAGTTTTTCATATTTATATGTATGTAACGCAACTCGCGCGCTATGTATCTATATACCAATGGTAGTATATAAGAAACCTTCCCAAGTGGACGTCGGAACTCGGAACCTTGCACAAAGTTTCATCACAGATAAGATCTTCCCTGTTTTGAGATATTGTTATACCAAATAATCATTCAAGAAAGATTCATGAAAATCGACTTATAATTTAAAAAAATATAGCGTAAAAATCTCTAACCATTCTCCTTTCGTCGAAATCAATCAAAAAAAATAACTAACCGTACAAATGGACTGATTGAAATTGCCAATACTATGTACAAAAAACAAACTTGAAACAAATATTGCGTTAACCTTTTTTGATTTGCGTATTGAAATCGAAAAAGGTTCATATTGATATTTCTATTCCCCACTGAACTATTCCACTCAAAATCAAACGATGTACATAAAAAGGCTTTCTGCTTTACGTCCTTTAACTAAAACGGACTGCGTTCAAAAATAATATCTATTTTATCGAAAATTGTTATTTTACAATTTTCATGTGTATTTATTATTCCATTTTCATTCAGTAGATACTTTAGTTTTTACTTTCCTATCTATTATTTTAGCAGTGGTAGTCCAGTGGTAAAGCGCTCGCTTGGGAATCCGAGTGAAGCGGGTTCAAAACCCGGGTGTGGAATCTATGATATATTCATGTGCGAATTATTTGCAACATAATTACCACTTGTCTTACGGTGAAGGAAAAAAATCGTGAGAAAACCTGCATGTCTAAGAGTCTGGCTAGAGAGAGAGAGAGATAGAGAGCCACGCATTAGGCTGATCCCACTCATATTCATGAAGAGAGGTAGGTACGTGCCCAGCAGTGGGACGTTAAAAAACCAGGGCTGAATACATGTATTACTTTGATTATAATTTTTACTCATATTTTTGATATGATGTCGAGTGACGATTATAAATGCCACTTCTAATCAAACATCAAAGTCTTGTAAATAATATTTCCATAGAAAGTTGAAATGATATTGCAAAACGTCTTAAGAAATGCGCCACTATAATATACAAAAGTATATAATGAAAACGATTTTCCATTTTTTACGTCATCACGTAAAAAGTATTGAACATATGGGTATGGGACTTTGACCAATTGATACGGGATCGTCTATAGATGGGCTTAGGCAATTTTTTCTCACAAATAAAAACAAAAGACGCTACACTTTTTATTTTATTTTTTTATTTAACCCAAAAATTTAATTTATAAGGGAAAACCTGAATATACATTAAGGTATCTGAAGACCAAAAAAATCATTATTCAAAATAAAAGACGAAGAAAACATTAGTCAATATACAAAAAATAATCGAATTTTCAGTTCCATTTATTTATTTCATCAAATTAACATACCAGTGTTCATGACAGCTAGACCCTCGCCTAACTTTAAGAATAAACGGTCTAGATTTGGACTATACAAAATAAATACACAAAATTGTTTATATGTCACCGTAACTGGGGTCTGGTGATTTAGGATTATTCTCACAAATCCTTTGTAAAAAATATACAATGTATAGAAAATATATTAGGGACGTTATACTTATTTTCTCTTTTAGGGTCCTGTTCCTCTTTTATAGATTTATTAATAATTTTTGTTCTGAACACGAGTTCGAAGCGCGTACTTGGACATGATATCTGAATGACAGTGCAATATTACTTCCCACTTCTAAAGACAAAATAATTCAGTACCTTTTCCTATTCTTTGCGTCAACCGATTTTTTTTTAATTTTTTTTCAAACAATTTTGTTCCATAGCTATTGACAGGCTTTAGTTTTATTAATAAAAACATTTTTTTATATATTTATTGATATGTGAATGAATAAATGTTATATGAACATGAAAAATATATGTTGTCTTAAAATTTCCACAAAAAGATTATATGTTCTACCAATAGGCGAACACTAGAAAGTTTTTAATATACAAACCATTTTTGAACAACTTGCACAGTTAAATTCACGTCAAAATTGAATACAAAATACATTCAAAAACCTCTCCTTTCATGTTGACTAACATAACTTTATTACCATCACAATAGGTTGTAACCTTTAAAGGTTTTTTGTTCAAAATAATTAATGGCAAATACTGTGAAATGAAAATTATTGTGGGCATGTTATTCATAATTAATTTTTTTCGAATTTTGATGACGATAAGTTAGAATCTAAGATAAGCTTTTGCTCGTGGCTCCACCTGTATAGTTTCATCATTATTATCATTTTCATCATCATGAGCCACACCGTGTTCAAGGCAAGAGTGAATAGGTGGCTTCTGAATTAGTGCGACTTACCATCTACGACTGCGTTACCACTTACCATCAGGTGAAACGTAGTCAAGCACTAATTCAGCATAGTATAAAAAAACCGTGTTGTCAGATTCCTATCCTCCTATTTTGAGAGCAATTCCTTAAGAATTTCAGTTTCACAACAAATATCTCCACCAAAACATCTTTTACCATCTACGGGAACTATACTACCATCAATACAAAAGTAAACTTCGTGATTCGAAAATTAATAGAAATATTCTTCTTCTTTTAGATATGGATGTCAGATTCTCAAAAGAACCAGAAGACGTAACCGCTCGGTTAGGTCAGCCATTATCAATCCCATGTAAAATTAGTTCAGGTCCAAGCGCAATTTTATCTTGGACAAGAAATAACGTGGAATTACCTAAAAATGACAGGTGAGTGAGTTTTATTTTCTTTTAAATCAAAAAAGTAGAAAGTATATGACTACTTTATTATAATTTACAGTGATCGTAGTTTAGACTACCTAAGTTGGAAGATATTGTAGGATTAATCCTTGCATGATCATATTTGGTTACATAATCTTTCAGACAATTAATATATGGGTATACATAGAATAACAAAAATAATACGTTATATATATTTCAGATATTATTTTCTGGATAACGAGTTACTCATCATCGATGTTCGAAGAGAAGATGCTGGAGCTTACAGGTATGTTTATATTTTTGTGATTGTTGTTAGACCTTTCTAAGACCATAGTCCACCACGCTGGCCAAGTGCGAGTTGACGGACTTCACGTTGTCTTTCAAAAACTTGCTAGGTTCTGTGATACATACCGGTTTCCTCTGGATGTTTTTCTTCACCGTTAGAAAAGTGGTAATTCGCACGTGAAAGTATCAGAGGAGGGAGACCTGGGATTTGAACCCGCTTCCCAAGCGAGCGCGTTACAACTGTCTTAAATCATTCATTAAATCATTTGTGACTAAACTGTTTTTAATAAATATTTTCCTTATTTCATAAATTAAAGTTTAATTTTAAGTAATAGGTTTCGTTCAATATTTATTTGGATTTGAATTTAGTTATGAAAAAAAGCAGTGGTAGCTCGGTGGTAACGCGCTTGCTTGGGTATGAAGACTTATAATAAACCTATTTATGAAGCAAAACGTAAAAATTAAATTTAACAAAAGGAAATAATGAAAATGAGAAATACAAAAGAGACAGAAGAATTTATTCTTCTGTCTCTTTTGTATTTCTCATTTTTAGTTTACAAAAATTTTACGTTGACCCCAAATCGAAAGCTCTCAATCAATTGTTAAGTACATTAAACATATATGGAAGCTTAAAATCACACCGGATTTAAAAAGGACAAAGAGCATCTCTGTTTTTTCAAACTAATATAGAATTAGTATAAAAATAGTTTACGTCCTATTCTTAGACCTACTGAATATACACACAAAATTTCATAAGAATCGGTCAAGCCGTTTAGGAGAAGTTTTCTTACACGACAATTATATAGGTATATTAGAATGAGAATGATATGTATATATTAGATAGATATCATATCAGGATCTATGTTAATAGAACACAATATAATAGGTCGTTCGGCAAAGTGGTTTCGAAAAATTGGTAAATCTGTATAAAAATAGGCAAAGATAAAACAGTCTATAACCTTTTTTTCCTCTGTTTATTAACTGATTTGTTTTTTTGGCTTAATTAAAGAAATGATTATATTCGAATTGAAACCAGTGACGAACACTAGTAAAAAAAATAAGCAAAAAAATAATTATTATCTGCGTCGACCTTTCTCCATTTTAAAGTCGTTTAAAGTCTCATCTAAAATACATACATACCTAAAGGTGAATAAGAATTGCTCTCGAATTAAGCTTCCAGTTCCACGAGGGACTATCTCATTTCTAATCTGTTATAAACGTTCACCAAAACAAACCAGTTCAATTAACATTAGGTCATGCTCCGCTACATTCTAACCCTAAGCCCTTGTCAGGGTCGTAGAGTTAGCAATTTAAAGTTTTAGTGTTAAAATAAATTGGTTAAGATTGATTTTGTTGAACTATTTTTAAGACTTTTTGGAAAATGTAGACCTGACATGGACATTTGGCAATTATCCAAATAAAGAAATTAACTGTTTGTAAATATTAATTTGTAAAAGTTCTATCATTGTTTCTTCTTCTGACTACTAGCATTGGCTTCTTCTCAAATTTTTCTTCTAAATGGATATTTTAAATACAACTATCTTTTCGATTTTTTTTGCGGATTTATTTTGATTTTTAGTACCCGACGTTTCGAATGCTTTACAATAATTATAGTCAAATATTCGCGTAAATCTAAGAAAGTTTTATCTAAGCAGATATTTCATTGCTCCTATCATCTTTTCTAATATTCTTGGTAGATCATATAGATATGATTTCAAGGAATCGTTGAAAAGATTGATTAAAAAACAATTCATTCAATTCATTTAAATTGCATACAATACATTGAACCTTAACATCTATACAATAGTATCTGTACGAGGAACTCAAGCTAATCGAATCTGCAATCTCCCTCAGATGCAAGTTACAGTGAGTCATTACACTCGTCCCCATTTTTTATTAATCCTACTAGTCGGAATCGGACTACAGTTATACATACATATATGTGAATGTTTGTATGTGTATGTATGTATATGTATGTATGTTTGTTACTCCTTCAAGCTAAAAGAGCTGGACCGATTTAGATGAAATTTAGTACACATCAAGACAATGAGCTGGGATAGCACATACTCGTATGTAGGTCATCGTTAGGCACTTAGAGACGAACCCGAGCAAAACGAGGATAAGTCGTTAGTAATATGTTGGTTTTTGGATTTTATTTCGAAAATCAACTAATGGTGGTTGAAGGGTTACGCATGTTTAAATATAATAGATAGAATTATAAGAACTTTAAGCGTAAAAGTGAATTTCTCAAATACGACAATGCTCATTCACTTTACAAGTCTTCTTTTAAATTTATAACATATAATAAAATACGTTATAACATTATGAAGGAGGTTCAATATATGTTTATATAAAATTGAATACGAAAACATATATGTGTATTGTATATACTGTATATGTTTTTTGAACAGATCCACTTGATTTTTTGCGTAGTTTGTTTATGAGTAAACATCATCCCATAGATTTCTTTTTATCATCATACACAAAAAAATTTCTTAGGATAAATATTTCTGCAAAAAGTTAATAAGAGATGCAAAGGACGTACTTAGAGCCTTAATTAAGTGTTGGCAGACCCTTCACTCATTTAATTATTAAAAGAATTGAGAAAAATAATTAAATAACTTTTACTTCAGAAAAAAGAAGGTACTCAATTACAATATAAGTTTGTTGTGTAAATTCTAAGTCTCTCTAGCCAGTTCTTCTCAAGTCTGTGACTCCTTCTTACCGAACTAGCGGTAGACTCATGACGTTCAATAAATAATTCTAATAATTTAATGCTGAATAAAATATTTTAAATTTGAATGTATTTTTAAAGTATTTTTTATGTTAGTGTTGTTTTAATTAATAAAGTATCAATTTTATTTAAAGATGCACAGCAAGTAACGTAAATGCAAATCGAAACCGTACCAGCCATGAAGGCCTGGTGACGGTGAAAGAGTCGACTGCAGAAGAACCGTCACTGTTGACGATACAGCATATTCAGAACATTGCTGTCCCGAGGGAGAGTAGGGTTGTGTTACATTGTCCTGTCCTCGGGTGGCCTAGACCTAAGGTGAGTTCTAAAAAGTTGTCTAACTTTAAAAATCTTGTGAACATTTAAAATAAGACTATATTTTTGGATTCTTCTCGGATTTATTTAGATTTTTAATTTCCGACATTTGGAATGCTTTACAGCAAACATGATCAAAAAGTTAAGTTTTATTTAAAATATCAAATATTCTTGTAAATCTAATAAAGTGTTATCTTGTAAATATCTAATACTTTATATACTTATAGTATATAGTTTGTTTTCTTATCTACACTGTTACATTAATACGATACAAAAATAAAGTTTTTCCTCCTCTGAAATACACATCTAATCTGAATGTAATAGGAAACTACTACCGCCGAGTGTTAAAGACTATTTTGTATTTGGATTACTGTCAGAAATCATAATAACTTTAATTGAAGATACTATATCAGCTATTATTATAAAGATATATGTATATAGAGTCGGGAAATATCCCGTATCTTACTTCAGTACACAACTACGTTGCAGGACGTTTCGGTAGTACTTCATAGTACAACTCCATTATGGAAATAAAAGTTGGTTATTTATCTTTTTTCGTGTATGTGTTCATATCTCACGTTTTTAGCATATTTTCATTCTGAAGTTAAAAATGGGATATTGAATAAAAAGTTAAGAAAATTTTAATCATTAATAATAATTATTTTGTATCTATTTGTAACTTTAACAGTTGATCTGGGAGCTGACTCCGCTTGGTGGAAGGGCGAGTGAGTTAGAGTTCGCACAAGAAGTTGTCGTCCTACCAAACCTGGAGTATGACCAAGAGGGCTTATATGCGTGTTCTGTCGAGGGACACAGTGATCTATACAAGGTAATACCTTTTTGTTACTTTCTTGAATATTGAATATTCCATACTATTCAATACTAATATTATAAATGTTAAAGTTTATATGGATGAATGGATGTTTGTTACTCTTTTACGCCGGGACGGCTCAATGGATCTGGATGAAATTTGGCACAGAGATAGATTATAGTCTGGAACAGCGCATAGGTTACTTTCTATCCCGGAAAACTTTACTTTATCATGGTTCTCGTGGGACAGACTTGTTTTAAAAATAAAAATATGAGAATATTCTGTGCTAATCTTGAAATTTTACATGGAGATTATTAACAGTCTACTAAACTAAAATATCTCCATATATAAAATATCACTTATTTATTAATCACGAAATCTTACAAAGTTACGATACAAGCTAAGAAAAGATTTTTGAAAATTCAACCAATAACTATAAGTGTAACGAATTTAAAATTAGATTATTCAAAAGCTCGTAACAAGAATCATTTGTACTAAAAATATAACGGGTAGATCGTATGACTTACTGTATTGTAATATGGTTAGTAAAACAATAAAGTTGACGGTGTTCAAATTGTTGGAGAAACAAATTTACGTGCCGTAATTTTAACTTATTATACACAATTTTGTGAAAGATTTTTCCTTTTCACTTCAACCATTTTCAAGCGTAAACAAGGTAACTTGTTTAGAAATTTCTCCCTAAATACAGTTTAATATTAAATATCGTATTTCCTGCGATGAATTTTGTGAAAAAAGATCGTACACGGTAATTATTTTTATATTGTGGTTCAATTTAGAAACAAAAGCGGTATACGTGAATGGTTATGTCGGCGACGGAAAACCTATCTTCGAGTAACGTGTGTATTAATATAGGGACAATGTCATTTTAGCGTATTATGAATAATTGTTGTAAATATGAAATCTCATTCTTATTAGATTTATTATGTTAAAATAAGTTCTAATTAGTGTAATAAGGTTAGTTTAGAGTATTTTTTGCTTATTTGAATCATATAAGACTATTTAACATTAATTTGAAAGGAATAGGTACGTAAGTAAAATGTTAGCATATAATTACGTAACTTGAAAATGAGATTTTTTGTTTCTTGCAATAGCATAATAGTTTATGTTTTAAATAATAGATTTTATTATAAAACTTATAATAAAACAAGAATTAGGTCGATAGGACTATCCGTTCAAAAGTTATAAGGGAAAATGTATAGTAAAAATGTAGCAACCTAGAAATTTAGATATTTTTGTTTTAAGACTTTTTTAATTAATTATTATATATTGAATATTATGTTTTAATATTGTATAATAGTATGTAAGGCATGTAAATAAATAAATATGTGTAAGGTGTTTTACTGAAAACATAAAATAAAAGGACTCTCAAGGTTTCGGTTTAGGGAAATTTTATTCGAAAAACGAGCTCAAAGTACGTGGCTCTCTGTAAGGTATTAACGGGCCAAATAAAAGGCGAGCCATTTCTCGATTCGAGTCAGTCGCAAGACAGCCACCGAAGAGGCAACAACTAAAAGGAAAAGGAAGAACCGAAACCAAGAGAGAAAAAAGGAAAAAATTGTGTTTTATTTCATCGCCTCTAAGTATAGTCTCCTGTCAACGAAGAAACCCTAGTGGATCGGGACCCAAGCTACGCATTCAGGGGTGCGTGGTGGCGTACATTACCAGCGAACGGACATACTGCCGTGTACGCCAAGAACGTCTGGGAGATTGTCCCAGGTCGACCTCCGGGTACTAGACATACCCTGGTTCTGGTCGTCCGAAACAGTTGGTCCTTCGAGCCGGATCCCTGCTAGAAGAAGTTCAGAAGAAACAGAAGATTGCGTTCAAGATGCCGGTAACCAGGTCGCAGAAGGATGCCCCCTCACGTCCCGGGTCCCGTCCTTCAGATAGGGACGCGACAGATGGAACGTCGGGATCAGAAGGGGTCACGTCAGCGTCGGCGTCATCGGGAACTGCAACTACATCGAACACTTCTTCGGGTACCACGACCACGGAGGGCACCACAGTGACGGAGACTTCGGTTACGACTGCAACTACGGCGGCGTCTATGGAAGGCAACAAAGAAGATGCTGCACAGAGGATGACCAGGAAGAGCCAAGAAGATGTACCTGGAAAGGATGTTCAAGGCTCCTCCAAGACCCTGAAACCGATGGGGGTCAGTCGTCGCGCCAGGTCCACGAAGACCACGAGTTCCTCGGCCAGAAGACGCGAGCTAGAAGCAAAGGAAGAGTTGGCACGCCTGGAGTTGAAGCAAGCACAGGCTGAAACTAAGCTAGCCCGTGTCAGATTGGAGATGGCACAGTGTGAAGAAGAGGACTCTGTGGATGAACACCTGGAAGACAGAACAGCACAGGTGCAGAACTGGATCGAGACGTCTGTGCTGGAGGATGGCAACAAAGTTCAACCAGAGATGCGAGGTCCACACCCCTTGGAAGAGCCACAGAAGATGAAGCCTGAAGAGAACTCCTCAACGAGAGGAGCTACGATTGAAATTCAAGCACTGACGGCAGCATTGAAGGAAGCTCTTACCACGCGAGGACCAGCAGGACAGCCAACCTACATTCACGAGTTACCCTACTTCGATGGCAACAGCAGCGAGTGGATGGCCTTCAAGGTTGTCTATGAAGATACAGCACCGATGTTCAACAACGTCCAGAATATGGCTCGGCTAAGAAGAGCACTGAAGGGCAACGCAAGAGAAGCTATCAAGAGTCTGCTGTACTCCGAAGCCTCTCCGATGGAAGTGATTCAAGCCCTCAGAAGAAGATATGGAAGACCAGATGCACTGGTGCTGGCAGAGTTGGACAAGGTCAAAACGTTGCCGAAGATTTCTGAAAACCCAAGGGACATATGCCTCTTCGCGAGCCAGATCAGCAACAGCGTAGCGGCAATAAAAGGATTGAAGAAACCACAGTACCTGCATTCACCTGAGATGGTGAAACAAATTATTGAGAAGATGCCTACGATCCTCAAGTTCCGATGGTACGACTTCATTGAAACAACAGAAGAAGGCGAGTTCTCCGACCTAACACTGGTGTCCAAGTTCCTGAACAGAGAAGCAGACAAGTGTGGAGCCTATGCATCAACAGAAGAGAAGAGCGGGTTCAGACGGACTCATCGACAAGCAACGCATTCAACTAAGGAAAAGGACTTCAAAGAAAAGGTTTCAAGATCAGAGAAGACTTGCCCCATGTGTGAGGGTGAACACTTCCTCGTCGGGTGTCAGAAGTTCCTGAAGGCGTCTGTGCAAGATCGATGGGCAATAGTGAAGAAAAGCCGCGTTTGCTTCAAGTGTTTACAAGGGACACATCGGAAGGAGAGCTGCAAGAACCCGTCGTGCAAGGAATGCAAGAGGTGGCATCATCATCTGCTGCACGTCGAGACAGAGAAAAGTTCCTCGGAAGAACAGAAGAACAAACCACAAGAAGTGGCGAGCATCATGGCATCGGTGAATGCGGTCAACAACGCAAGGGCATACCTGAAGATAATTCCGATAGAAATCTTCGGGTCAAAAGGATCAAAGAAGATATTGGCCCTCATGGATGAAGGGTCAACAGTGTCGCTGCTAGACCAGAAGGTAGCAGAAGAAATCGGCGCTCAAGGAAGAAAGGAGGAACTGGTCATCGAGACTGTTGGAGGCAGGCTGATAAGGAAGGAAGACTCTCAGATGCTGGACCTTACGGTGAAGGGGATTCATCAGAAGACCAAGAAGACCTTGAGAAGAGTCCGGACCATCGACGAGTTGAAGCTTGCACCGCAGTTCCTAGAAAAGAAAAGGATAGAAGAGTGTCAACACTTGAAGAAGATTGCTGACTCTCTATATTATAAGGGGGAGTCACCACAGCTGCTCATCGGTCAAGACAACTGGGAGCTAATCGTGACTCAAGAAGTAAGAAGAGGGAAACCAGGACAACCAGTCGCTTCAAGAACAGGACTTGGATGGGTGCTCCACGGGTCAGACACTGGAGGCGCGAAAGTGGTGCACTTCTTAAACACGTGTCTACATGTCAGCACGCCAGAAGAAGAGATGCATCAAGCCATCAAGGATCACTTCGCAATCGAAGCACTTGGAGTACTACCAAGAAGACCCACTACGGATTCAGAAGGAAGAGCACTCACCATCCTAGAGAAGACCTGCAGAAGACTAGAAGATGGTCGATTTGAAGCTGGACTTCTATGGAAAAATGAAGATGAACAGATGCCTGAAAGCTACACGTCTGCCAAGAACCGATTGTTCAACATTGAAAAGAAGATAGACAAAGACCCTCAGCTGAAGGCAGAATACAATAAGCAGATCCAGCATCTAATCGACAGCAAGTATGCAGAAGAAGCACCTGGTGGACAAGAAGATTCAAAGAAGACATGGTACCTCCCTCATTTCTCCGTGGTACATCCATTGAAGAAGAAAATAAGGATCGTCTTCGACGCTGCAGCCAAGTCTAAAGGGAGAAGCCTCAACGACGTTTTACTACCGGGACCAGACCTACTGCAATCGCTCTTCGGGGTATTACTGAGGTTCCGGCAAGGCCCGTTTGCAGTGGCAGCCGACATAAAGGAAATGTTCCTGCAAGTTCGCATCCGGCCAGAAGATAGAAACAGCTTGAAGTTCCTGTGGCGAGGGGATCGTCGTGACGTAGCACCGAAGGAGTACAGAATGACATCAGTCATCTTCGGCGCGACATCATCTCCTAGCACAGCGATCTACGTGAAGAACCGGAACGCGGCGGACTACAAGAAGCAGTACCTAGAGGCAGCAAAGGCAATCGAGCTGAACCATTACATGGATGACTACCTGCACAGCTTCCATTCAGAAGAGGACTTCAAGAGAATTACAGCGCAGGTGGACTTCATTCACAAAAAGGCGGGCTTCGAACTCCGAGGATGGGCGTCAAACCACTCCGACCTGCTGCAAGACGTGAAGACTGAGTCAGTTGAGAAGACAGAGGTGGACCTTGGTGAGAAGGAAGAGAAGACACTGGGACTACGCTGGTTTACAGAAAGGGACTCCATAGGCTTTAGGGCGAACCTTCGGAACACGCCAGATGAAGTGGCACAAGGACTCAAGGTACCTACGAAGAGAGAAGTCACCAGCGCCGTGATGTCGACCTTCGATCCACTAGGGCTAGCATCACCAATTCTCATCCAAGGCAAAAGGCTGCTCCAGAACATATAGCGAAGTGGCGTCGGTTGGGATAAAGAGATAGAAGAAAAGGAGTACGAGTCATGGAAGACTTACCTGGAGAAGATGAAGCTGCTCCAAGACCTTCAGATCCCGAGATGTCTGGCACCACGTCGCACCGAGGGGGAGCTGCACACGCTCAACGAAAGGCAACCACGAGAGGAGGTACTTCATACCCTCCTGTTAGAGGCCGAGCACATAGTCAACTCTCGGCCCCTCACCCACCTCTCCGAGAACCCTGAAGAAGAAGTACTTACACCGAACCACTTTCTCATCGGGCGATCATGTGGCGCAGCAAGAATCGGCAGCTTCGAGGACAACGAGCTTGTGGGCAGACACACCTGGAAGGCTACGCAGCGACTTGCCGATCACTTCTGGCAACGTTGGCTGAGAGAGTATTTGCCCACTCTACTACCAAGGAAGATCAAAGGAAGAGTCAGCGCCACAGATTTGCAAGTCGGAGACATCGTACTGATCGTCGATCACAGGCTACCAAGATGCATCTGGCCACGCGGAAGAATCCTGCATGTGTATCCTGGACCAGACGGGCGGACCAGAGTCGTCGACGTCGAGACCAGAGGAGGTGTTCTACGGAGGCCCAGTTCGAGAGTGGTGCTGTTGGTGCCGGGAGCGTCGCCGAGTCCAGGAGTTGGTGCAAAGCACGAGGGGGAGAATGTCGGCGACGGAAAACCTATCTTCGAGTAACGTGTGTATTAATATAGGGACAATGTCATTTTAGCGTATTATGAATAATTGTTGTAAATATGAAATCTCATTCTTATTAGATTTATTATGTTAAAATAAGTTCTAATTAGTGTAATAAGGTTAGTTTAGAGTATTTTTTGCTTATTTGAATCATATAAGACTATTTAACATTAATTTGAAAGGAATAGGTACGTAAGTAAAATGTTAGCATATAATTACGTAACTTGAAAATGAGATTTTTTGTTTCTTGCAATAGCATAATAGTTTATGTTTTAAATAATAGATTTTATTATAAAACTTATAATAAAACAAGAATTAGGTCGATAGGACTATCCGTTCAAAAGTTATAAGGGAAAATGTATAGTAAAAATGTAGCAACCTAGAAATTTAGATATTTTTGTTTTAAGACTTTTTTAATTAATTATTATATATTGAATATTATGTTTTAATATTGTATAATAGTATGTAAGGCATGTAAATAAATAAATATGTGTAAGGTGTTTTACTGAAAACATAAAATAAAAGGACTCTCAAGGTTTCGGTTTAGGGAAATTTATTCGAAAAACGAGCTCAAAGTACGTGGCTCTCTGTAAGGTATTAACGGGCCAAATAAAAGGCGAGCCATTTCTCGATTCGAGTCAGTCGCAAGACAGCCACCGAAGAGGCAACAACTAAAAGGAAAAGGAAGAACCGAAACCAAGAGAGAAAAAAGGAAAAATTGTGTTTTATTTCATCGCCTCTAAGTATAGTCTCCTGTCAACGAAGAAACCCTAGTGGATCGGGACCCAAGCTACGCATTCAGGGGTGCGTGGTGGCGTACATTACCAGCGAACGGACATACTGCCGTGTACGCCAAGAACGTCTGGGAGATTGTCCCAGGTCGACCTCCGGGTACTAGACATACCCTGGTTCTGGTCGTCCGAAACAGGTTACAAAGACATAGTGGTATTCTATTCCAAGTGGTATTCTATTATATATTGTAGTATTATTAATAGAAAACTTTTTGCTTTGTATGGGCTGGCACCGATTTCGAAAATATTTGATTAGGTATGTATTTAATAGGTAGGCTTTAATTACTTAGCCAAAGCACACCGACTTCGAAAATATTTGATAAGGTATGTATAGTAAATGAAAACTACCAATCAGTAATTTTTTACTTTTTAGTGCTTTTGTTTGAAGTCGGTTTTTATTTTTTTGTTAAAAAGTTTTTATTTTTCCCTTTTTAGTGTAGACAGTAGTAGCAAAGTAAGGATTCTAACGTGTTAGGCTTGTGAAATCAAACAAAATAAGCCCAAACTCAAAGTATCTACTATTAGCCGTTGAAGAGTTCCACCTATCCACCTTCTGGCCTTGCCATCAGATCAGGTCAACAACACCGAACCACTGTACTATCAACGGAAATAGAAATACTTGCAAAGTTTCAAGTCAATATGACAATTAGAAGTACGTTAAATTCATCATTAGTTGTTTTTCCACCCTTAGGGGTGGTATTTTTTTTTGAAATTTAAATGGGACCAATCTGGAAGTATACCCTTTCAAACGACACAAAAATTGTTCAAATCGGTTAATAAATGACGGAGTTCTGAGGTAACAAACATAAAAAAAAAAACATACAGTCGAATTGAGAACCTCCTCCTTTTTGAAGTCGGTTGAAAAATAAAATAACCGGGCTACAGTGAATCTGACCTGATTATTTATACGTTTGCAGTAGTTATTATAAGATATAGCTAAGTGATAATTAGTTAATAATAATATAATATATGTACATCCGAAAATGTATGTTGGTCTGTCTTTATTACAAATAGAAGCGAAACACGTGATTTTTGAACATATAGCTTATAAGGATTATCTTCTGATATTTATATCTACTTAACTACACTACACGACTATATTATTTAGCAGACACTATAAAAAGTTTGAATTAAGTTACATACATACACATTAGCAAATTCTTTAAAAGCTTCTCTTATGAAATTGTACCACAAGGTAACCCGAGGCGCCACTCTCGTTAGTAAATGAGCTACCTATTTGCTTTGTGAGCGATAATAAAATTGTATTTTTAATCTTCACACAGGTTATTCTATGTGGGTGTGATCCCTTAGTGCATTTTTATGTAAATGAAGCGCGATTGTGTAGAGTTTTGTGTAGATATGGTAATTGCAGGCTGGCATCGTTTGGTAGCGTAAGATTTTAATGATTACTTCCATTTATTTTGTTGCTGTTATAATGAATGATATATTATATATAAAAGTAAACAAATAAAATATTTTAATATATTTTTTATTTATCTAATTAAAAATATAGTATAAAAACTTATTTAATAGTATTAAAAATTTGTAGGAAATCATTGTTACGCCGTCTAGACCTTGGTAGCGTTTATTAGTAAGGCATTATGACCATCGTTGAGTCGCTTGACATGTATTCGTAAAATTAATTGTATACAGTCAAACCTGAGTGAGTGAGAACTGGGTAAGCGAGAAAACTCTGTAAGTAAGAGTAACTGCCAGGTCCCAACACTTTATCCCTCTAAAACCCTCTAAAACAGAAAAACAGAAAACCTCTATAAGAGAGAATCGTTTTTTATATCGTAGACCTTTATAACTAAGACTGCTTATTTACCTATACCTCATAATTATAAGTGACAGTCGAGCAAAATTAACACCTGCTATTTATGGCTTAAATTTTATGGAACTAATATTGTAGTAAGTTTCCTTTAATTTCCAGGAACTAATGTTAATTCCTAGTCAAATCCTGACGAATAATACCCATCCAATACATACATGTTTATCACTACACATTTGCTGTATTTTTTTTAAACCTCTATAAATGAGAAAAGCCACTCCTGTACCTCTCTCTATAAGTTAGAAACTCGGGTTATATGAGAGATCTCTATAAACGAGATAGAGATCGCGGTCCCTTGAGCTCTCACTTATCCAGGTTTGACTGTATATATTATTCTTTTGAAGTTTATGTACGTATAATTAAGTGTACTAAATTTCAATTTTTCCATGAAGTAAGTAAGTAAGTTCCATTGGGAAAAATATAATATAAGAGACGAAGCCCATGAAGGATTATAAGGGTTTAGATTAAAAAATATTGAACGTTTATTTATGTGACCACTTATAGGATATTGTCGAGTAAATTTTTTTTCATAATCAAAATAATTTACTCCTTGTCTTGAAGTTTTGAAGTGAATTTTAGCATAAGTATTTTTTTAGAACTGTTGATAGATAAAAAAGAGATTTGTTTGATAAATATTAATATTAAATATACCTAGAAATTGAATTGGGTTCGGTTTTTTTCAATTTAAAATACTGAACAGTAATCCCTAAAGTATCCTATAAAACTCTCACAGATAAATGCGTACAAACTGACAAAAATAAAATGTGTGTATCGTAGAATATGACTTGAATATGGAATACCTATTTTGGTTTACAGATACTTGAACTTTATTTATAAACTAGCGGCAAGACAAAAACAAATCTATCCCACGGGCACGTTTGTTCGGGATAAATGTGTTATTCCAGACTATAATCTATCTCTGTGCCAAATTTCATCCAGATCTGTTCAGTCGTTCTGGCATTGATTGAGTAACAAACATCCATTCAAACATCTAAACTTTCACATTTAAAATGTTAGTAAGATTAGTAAGATAATACGAGTATGTACTTTTTGTTCAATTTGTTGCTGAAGTAATTAAATAGTTGGATTGAGCCAAAAAGATTCTGATATTTTAATATGAATATTTAGTCTAAATCAATTTGTTTTCTAGGTTTTCAATGTAACAATAACAGAACCAGTGAAGATAACTCTACCACCATTTTCTAAAGAAGCCATGCGTGCGAGCACTGTTCGCTTCAACTGTACTGCCACTGGTCGGCCGGCACCTAACATTACATGGTATAAAGATGGAAACCACTTAGAGCTAGCTGGAAGAGTGAGTATTATTATTCGAAATAAGTCGCAGATAATATAGGATTTTGCGTTTCGGTATTCTATGTATTTTTGTATTGTATTGCTAGAGATTATCAGGTCATTGGTTTGAGTCCAGGATTGAGTAAAAACGTTATTAGGCGCCATTTCCACTAGCAGTTCGGAATTGGAAAGATGTTGGAGCCAAGAAGAGTATATAATGTCTTCGAAATTGTCATTTTTATTTGCTATATGATTTTAATTCACAAGAGTAGACTGTATTACGTTGTATATGTAAACTTAGATAAAACGACATAGACATTAAAACTAGGGACACATGTGTATAACTTTTTTTCACGTTTTATGTAGTTCTAAGTTTATTGAACCAATTCTTATTGAGGATCTTTTCTATTCAAAGTAATGTTAACGTCTTAAGTTCTAGAAAGTGAGTACAGTACCCCTATGTTACATATAACATAAAGGCGAATTAGATAAGATGATATATCAAGTTGATATGATGTAGCATCCTAAAACGTTCTTACAACACAATTTAAGTTGTATAGAACTACTAGTGGACCAGGTAGGCCATTTGGTAAAAGAAATTAAAAAAAATGGAACCCAACAACAGCGCCACCTACTAGATCCAATTATAGCTAAAAATTATGCAGGTACCATACGCACATACATTTTTATCAAAATCGGTAAAGCCGTTGAGATGGACAAGAATTATGAACATACGTATACCATAAGTTTATATATACATATCATGTTATCTATATTCTAAAAACATCATCTTTAATGGTTACAATCTACTACTATAATCTTCCGGGCGTTATCAGGGCTAAAATAATAAATTATTCATTGATTAGTACAATTTAATGAGGGAAATAGCAATATTATACACTTGAAACGGTAATTCTAATAATTTAATGCAGATGTATCATACTTCCACATTCAATATCCACCACTCTATGATCCACCAAGATCAACCAAGTCTTATCTCCAATGAATGTCATGATGGCACCCGACCCCGCTCGAGACGTAATTTCTGTTCGAAATTTAAAAGCAGTTGAAACTAATCTAAATAACATAGTGACTTTAAATAATAATAAGGTTTTATAACAGAAAAAGGTAACTAAATTCTCCCCCGATATTCATGTACCTAAAGATAAACCATTGTAGAATGTTCTCAAAAACATTGAGTTCAATCCTTCAATCTTAATATTGAGCAATTTATGTGTTCCAGATCAACCTACGCACCTCGGCAGACCGCAAGCGTATTGAGTTGGTGATAAGTGGAGTCACTTCTGATGATGCAGGTAATTACACCCACATCTTACTCTCTTATTGTTGTATTTTTAAATGTAAAGATTTATTTTTTTGAAAGATATTGTGACTAATGACATGATATTATGTTATTTTCGTCGTAGAAATATCAAGAAAATACATACATAATATCATTTTTTTGAACTTTGTATAAGTTGTTGGTGATGGTACAAAAATTCAAGTGGTACTACACAATTAGCGTCCCAAAAATGCAAACAAACAAAAAAGTACACTATTCGAAGTTATGCGCCTTTATCAAATCTCTTTTGTTCATTGCTTTTCGGATGACAAAATTAAAACGCACATTGTTTCGTTTAAAAAAATACTTTTGGTGTGCGTAAGTTTCAATTTGTGTTTAGACAATTAGAATGTCGATTTTTGGATTTTATTCTTTGGTTTGACTTAATGTTATATCGACGCCACTTTTTGAAGGTATATTTGTGAGGAAATGTGTATCTATGTTTTTATATACCTACCAATATTTCAAACTAAAGAATTATATAGGCGGAGTCCGCTAAAATAAATGTCAAGGTCAAAAATAGTAGCGTGATTTGCTGTTTATGCTACTATTCTCAATTTTGCCATACAAATCGTTTACTTTCTTTAAAGCATAAGCGAAATTTTATACTTGTATTATATACTTTACATTAGTATATCTTCATTGTAACTTTTATAAAAGTTGAGGTTCCTAAAACACTCATCCATATTATACTTTTGGCAGGTGTTTACCAATGCTTAGCATGGAACGGTGTCACCATGGCTTCAGAATGGGCTAGGCTGAACGTGACAGGTGCAGGAGCGGCAGCACCAGGTGCAGTGCAGTGCGCACCCACTGGTGTATCCTCAGTGGAACTTCGCTGGGAACCTGCCGCTAATGACGTTATGGCTTATACTGTTGACACTACTCCCACTGGTAACTAGTCTCCATAGTAGTCTCCATATATTAAATACTAGCCGTCACTCGCCTGCTTTGCTGGGTAACGTAAATGTTTCTTTTGGTCTTCCGAGACCAACGTGTATATTTAGGTATTTTTCTTATAAATTAAATATTAATATTAAATAAAAAAGTGCGGTTTCTTTTATTTTTATTGGCGGGAAAAATACTAATGAAAGTAAATTAAAAAATGGTGAAGAGACATCATCTACAGACGATCCCGCGTCGATTGGACAAAGTCCCATACTGATACGTTCAGTGGTATTTACGTGATGCTGTGGCAAAGGAAAAATCGTTTGATTATAAGTTTAGACTTACAAGTATGTAATTTAACTTGCTATTTACATCAGTGAATTAATGGATGACGTTTTTGGTATATGAACAGTGTTTCAGTGATTCGAAATACCAGAATTAAGTCAGGTTAAAGGTCCTAGAGCTTGGCCTGGACCTGATAAGGTGTGACATTAATTAATATGTGCAGTGCCTTCTACTTCAGACGAAAAATAATAATAATTAGTTATCTATTGTAAATTGTAATCTTTAAAACGTGCCCAATAAAGTTTTTTTTTATTTTATTTTATTTTTTTTATCTCGAAAATATGCAAATCTAGATATTATATAAATGTTAATTTTTTAGTTGTTTATCATGATTTATTAAAAAATCATATGGATTTACACAATTTCCTTTACATAAGTTCTTATATATTTATTTTAATTATTTCAGATAAACGTGGAGTCATCACAGGTCAGCCCCATAAAAACACAGTAGAGATCGTCAAAGTTAAACAACCATTAACACCATATATATTTCAAGTAAGTATAAGTAAAGTAAATAAAATTTTATGTCATGAAACTATTATATGAATAGCCTTAACAGTTAATACCTTTTTATTACTGTAAAATATACGTGGGTTCGATATTCGGTTAAGGTAATTTTACCATATCTACACGTATTTAGTATAAATATATTCACACAAAATGTATGAATTATGTACTCAATATATAAATTTATAATTATATCTATATATTTTAATTCCATAGTAACATTTAAAATATAACTTGTTTGCAGGTTCGTGCCTACATTTCATCGTCTCCAACAAAGAACATAGCTAGCGATATGTCAGAGAGTGTTATATGTCAGGGACAAGGGGGTAAGTCATATTTCTCATAATAAAAATAATATAATAGTGGATTTAGAGTTAAAATCTAAATTTTAGATATAAGTTTTGGATAAAAATAAAGATTTCTTTAGTCACAATATTATATTTTTTAGATTTGTCCGAAAATAAAAAAATAAAAATAACAATCTTTTGGTCATCCATTATAATTTCCTCTCTACATAATATCACTAGTACTATATATTGAGGTTACATTAAAATATTAGTTAAGCATTCACATTTATTCCAGTGCCAATAAAGCTCACTAAGCTTGAAGACGACCGAGTGCTAATATCTTGGCAGACGTTCGCCGAACAAATGCCAGGTGTAGTGCAGTGGATGCTCCAGTACAAATCGGATATGCAGAATGGGAGCTATGGGGACGAGCACAATATTACCCTCGAGGCAAAGGTCACCAATTATACGTTAACTGGTAAGTCGAAATTGTTTTTTTTTTATTGTATACTAACCATAGACCTAGAGAATGGACTGAGCAATACTCTCGTAAAATTAACCACCGACAAAATCCGAAAAGATTGTTTTCCTTTCACCACACCACCAATTAATTAAGTTTCAAATTTTGTTTCTCCTTTAGCTCCCAAGTCTTCACCACTGGTAGTGAGGCTGTTAGGTTCCAGAAGCTTAGAGTGGCTTCAGCAGAACCTAACCCTGGTGCCCTGGGTCTCTACCAACGCAGCTGGCCAGGATAGCGAGGACGGGTGAGGTTCTGGTCTCCAAGACTACTATTACTTATTTAATAAAATATATAATTTCAAAATACTATATTAAAAATGCATATTTTTTATTGTATAAACTTGTTTAAGCAAAGCTATTATTAAGACTACATGAATCTGTTAATTTTATTTATACCATATGTTTATCGTTTGTAATACAATGTACTCTCTTCAATACCTATCTATCGTATCAACATAAATATACTATAGATAAAGTATCCCTTTCTCGATTTTCCACTTTACCGTTTGTTTCACAACACTATGTTAAATGGCGACCTTAGTTTCTTAAACAGTAACAATAAAAAAATATCTTCACTCGATCCAAAAAAGTACCTTTGTCGCTATCGTCAAAATTGACATTAGATTGATCCTAAAACTCGATACCACAGCTATTCGATTGAGTAGGGAGTAATACTATTATATTAGACAAACGAACACTTTCGCATTATTTATATTATGTAGTAAGAATTTATGTCTTTTATCTAACAGGGTGATTAACTTAGTACCTCAAGATCTAGAAGTCACAGATGTAAGCGAACGCAGCTTCACGCTGAAATGGCAGTGTGAAGACGCTTCCGAATACATGTTTATTGTTTGCTGGAGGAAAGTTGATGGGAATGAAGATTGCCAAGAAAGGTTAGCTACACTCACTGCCTCACTGACTCACTGTCATTGTGTGACGTCATCTTGTTGAATGAAAAAAGAACGATAACTATCTTTCTTCTGAAGTATTCCCAAAATAAAATGGTATTTTTTTTATATAAATAAGTTCAGCCTCCGCGCCATTTTCTTATAATTTATTATAAATTTCGAATTAAATAGAAATAGAATAGCGACTATAATCATTATCGTGAAGAAAAATATCATGATGTTTAAAAAAATTTTCTATTCCAGCTACAAAACCTCTACAACAATTGAAGGACTTCAGCCGGATACTGAGTACGAAGTGCGAGTGCAGATTCGACTCCCAACTTTCACATTAGGCGGGGCCTTCTCTGCGCCCTACCATATTACCACACAACCCGAAGGTATGTATTGATCAATATTTTTATATATATTGCTGTTTGACCTTGGCTCATAAATTAAGTCATAAAAATTGTCATGAGTATACATCAATGAATTAAAGGTATCATACATATACATCAATGAATGTTCATTATATATGTAGGGACCCGTCATAAGTGTGCACTACATACGTTACTTAACTTGATCATCTGGTACTTGTGATGGCGTCACCGGGATGTGAGTAAATAATAAAAAGTGTAGTGACGGTTGAAATAGTACACTTCTTCCGTTGTTACAATAAAGATTGTATTCAGCCCTTTTTATTGTCCCAATGCTATGATATGGCCTCCCCTTAATTGTCCCTCGAGGGGGATTAGGCCATAGTCCATCACGCTGGCCAAGTGCGAGCGGACTGAGCGTGTCTTCCGAAAACTTTAAGTTCTCTCAGATATGCACGTTTCCTCACAATGTTTTCCTTCACCGTAAGGCAAGTGGTAATCATGTTCCACTTGGTTTCCCAAGCGAGCGCGTTACAACTGGGTTACCACTGCCTCGTCAATAAAGACTACAATGGTACAATTATATTTTCAGGCCCCCATCGCTTCAAAGACCTGACCTACAAATTCATCAATGAGACAACATTACGCGTGTCCTGGAGCGGGGCACCGGCGACGTACACGGTACACCACAGCGCGCAGCTCAAGCTGCCCGTAGAGCAGTGGGCAGCCGTCAATACTACTGGGAACACTGTAATTGTGAGTTATCTGGTTCTTGACCTTTTTGCATATTGACTATAGGGACCAATTTTGTCAGATTATTCATAGTGGAAGGCAAAAAACTTTCAAGTAACTAATTAAATTATTACAATTAATTAAGATTAAATTAAATAACCATTTAGTTTTTATTAACGGTTACTTATACTTTGAATAATCATGTATCCGACATAACGACTACCAATATCGACATTTTTCATAAAAAAAGCTAGCCTTCTTGTAAAAGCTACGCTTCTCAGAAGAATTCAGCGTGATAGTTATCATTTTTAAAAATGGCTTAGGGATCTATAAAATTAGTTTCCTTGTCAAAATCATTGTCTGCCCATTTCCCAAATTACTTGGGGTCAGCGCTGTACGTCTATACTGCTATTTGGTTTTGGCAAAAGTTTTCCGAGCATCCGCCTGCCTTACATCAACCCTCCTTGAGAATGATATTGTCGAGCACCCGAAGTGTGATGTCCCTAGATCCTTTAATTGTCTTCTACGACACCCACAGGAGGTGATGGGCCAGCCCTATTCTATGCCGAGCGCTACACGTATATTTTAGCTTCCTTGTCTTATAATTAATATGTTAGCACTCTATAATAATTGTTTGTATGACGCTATGTATTTGAATATTTTGCCATTTCAAGTATTATTATTATTGGGTACATATGTATAATATGATTGTAATATTACAAATATATTTAGTAATGAAAGGCATATGAGACCTATTAAGAAAACAATGTAAAAGACCCTTTACAATGAAACTCTTTTCTTTTAAAACTAACCTACGTACGATTTTTTAATTAAAATTTCAATGCTTATCTAAATATTTTGATTACCAGATTACCGACATCGAGCCCATAGAACAGACATTTGTGATGGTGACAGGGTACAACCCTATCGAATACAGTCCAATAATCAATATTCCTTCACCAGTTAAGGAACTGGGTAAGTTTAATATATATAATACTTTACTAATATAATACGGAAGTAATTTCTTTTATGGAGGGAATAAAAAGAACAATTTTTCATTCTCTTCTTGAAACTCTTTTATTTTGACTTCTACCTTCTAAATAAAACTGTCTATATTTGGTTTCCGATGTTTCGAATGCTTTACAGCAATCATGGTTACGGTAAAGACTAAGGTTTTAGACGGCTAAAAAGTTACTATATAGTTACTAGAAGAACTCGCGGCTACCCCCGCGTTTAATCTACAAAAAAAAACTCTTTGGCTTTATGTTATAAAAATACTAAAATCGCGATTAATAAATGGGAGGTGGGGGTAGAAGGATGAAAAATACTTTACGACCTATTCTCATACCTACCAAATATATAAAGACAGCCATTAAAATCGATCAAGCCGTTTCGGAGGAGTGTGACCATAAACACCGTGACACATGATATTTATATATTAGATTCCAGACAGTATTGTAGATCCATAACAATATTAAAAACCATGAAATTATCCTGGTGGAAAAAATATAATATAAATTTGTTTCAGAACCAAAAGACCTAAAGTACGTGTACACTAGCTCAGGAGTGTCTGTGTGGTGGCACGGGCCCGGCCTCAGGACGGTGCGGTACGCACAGAACATCACTCAGCCGCTGGATAACTGGAACAGTGTTAATGTTTCCGAACCGAAAATAGAGGTAAAGCCCTTATCTATACATATAGTAAAATCCTGAGTCGAATCTGTACATTAAATATTTTTAGGAAAATCTTATTGAAATAGTCATTATTATCGATACACAGGCTGAATCTTTAGTTCTTACACATATCATATAATACTATACTAGGTTTTTAGATTTTATTCTGTCTGTCTGAGAATGCTTCACAGCAAACCAGTTTACAGATTTTGATGAAATTTGGTATGATGACAGCTGGTTAACCGGGTCAACATATAGGATATTTTTTACTGCAGGAAAATATCTCATCTCTGAAAAATCTATACTAAATGTTAAAACGTAACTGGGGACGTATAAATATGTATATATTATGTATAATGTAGAATATTTCACTATTTATTTTTTCAGTTAAACAATTTGGATGCGAGACTCCCATTGTACGTGATGGTGACTCCTGTAAGTGGCGGCCGACGGCAGCACGTGCTGACCATCCCTCCCCGACCTCCTGGAATTAACGATGATCATTATTATTATTACATTGGTAATTATTCTAGCAATGGAATTTTGAGTACATGCTTACAGTTATCGTTAAGTAAATCTCTAAAAACCTGGGAGAAAGAAAAGAATGGGGAGTTATATATCTATTAGGCATTCTGTTGTCAATTTTACTTTAAAACACGACTTTTTTTATTATTTTATGGATAGGTACTATACTTATAGTTTTCGAGTTTAGATTGTGATTCTTCTTATTATTTTACAACTACACTTAATTTAATCTGAGTTTTTTTGACTCAAAAAATATTGTTAGTTTTAGAATTGGTGTTTAAAATGTTTAATAATTATTAATATAATATATTTAAATGTTTAAAATTTTGAATATGCATTTAGGTAATAGTATGACAAATAGTGCGAGTAGGTATCTTTCTAATCGCTTTGGGGCTGGTTAGGGACAATTATTCGTTCGATATCGCACAAATCTACGTGACCAATTTTTTTACATTTATACTGCTTTAAAATTAATAAATAGTCTTATTTCTAATAGTTTTTTAGGGTTCCATACCCAAAGGGTAAAAAGGGATCCTATTACTAAGACTGTCTTGTCTGTCTGTCCGTCTGTCACCAGGCTCATGAACCGCGATAATTAAACAGTTGAAATTTTCACAGATGATGTACGAGTATTTCTGTTGCTACTATAATAACAAATACTAAAAACAGAATAAAATAAATATTTATGGAGAGTCCCATACAACAAAAGTGATTTTTTTTTGCTCGTTTTTGCTCGATATTGATAACGGCAACAGGTAGACGCTTGAAATATTCACAGAATATTTAGTTATATATTCACTTTAATTATAAATAATTCAATTAAATGTTACAAATATTTAAGGGGGGCTCCCATAAAACAAACGTGATTTTTGTGCCGTTTGTATAGAAAATGATACGGAACCCTGCGTGCGAGAGTCCGACTAGCACTTGGTTAATTATTTCTGCCTCTTCTAAATAAATACATTAACTTATCTTCTTCAGGTCTGGGCGTGGGATGTGGAGCATGTGCGCTGTGTGCGCTCGCTGGTGGTGCGCTCTGTATATGGAGACGTATGAAAGCAAGCCGCACACCAGACCGGTACGTATTGTTTATTAAATTTATATTAGTTTTTACTGTATTTACGAACAAACGGCACCAGTATTGTAAACCCTCTAACACAAGGGTTCTCGAAAAATAACATTATATGAAGACATAATATTTTCTAGAAAATAATGTAGGACTCACATTTTTTTTCTCCTATATAGTTATTATTAAAAATACAACGAATATAGAGTTGGTAGGAATATTATTAACTCGATAAATAACATTTTAGATCCCGACGTCAGGTCGCGACGTCTGAAGGAGCAGAGGAAGAGGGGTCTGAGATGAAGGTAGGCACATAAACATATCATTTGTATTAATATTATAAAAGCACAGCATATTAATTCATTCAGTCATCTAACAAACGCTCTTAGATGGGCCAAACGTGGGCCTTGCGAGACGTGGGCGAGGCGCTCCCAACTGTCGTACATAATATGTTTATATGACAGTCGGGAGATGGATTCAGGGTTGACGTCCATTTTTATTTTATTATAACTGAAATACAATTAATTTGTTCTTTATTATTAATAATAATACTTTTTATTTTCAAGTAATGATAAAAAAAATTAATTTACAACCGCGATTCGCTGAATTTTCTTTATCGATTGATTTGATGAAATTTTACATAGTTAAATCCGTTTTCGAGATACATGAAATAATATAGAATTGCTAATTTAATATTATAAGATATATAAGATAATAGTTCGTATAATAAGGTGTCAGATGTTGTGACAGGTGGTGAGGGGGGTACGGGGTGCGCGGGTGGCCAACGGGGGCGCGGTGGCGGGCGGCAGGGGCGCGGGGCGCGCGGGGGGCGCGGGGGAGCCGTTGTTGAACGGACACGTGCATATTACTGAGAATCCTGTTGTAAGTATATACTTTATTATACATATAAAATTTATTTATTTATTTACTAGCAATACCCACGGCTTCGCTCGCGTTCATACTTCCGATATAAACATCAGTTTTACAATAATGTATGGTCTGCCCGATTTGCTGACATTTACGATTACTGCTATGCGGGAGCATAATGTTACTACCTAATCCTTTAGGTAGTAACATGATGATATATTCGTCTATAGCCTTCCTCAATAAATGAGCTGTTTAATGCATAAAGAGTTTTCAAATCGGATTATTAGTTCCTGAGATTAGCGCGTTCAAACAAACAAACTGTGTCTCTTTATAATATTAGTATAGATTAGGAAAATAAACAATGAAATGGCACTTGAAAGATACTAATATACATAAATCAGCTAATTTCCACTGATAGTAATTACGTAAACGTTATCATTAACAAAAACAGAGCAAATATAATTCAACATAATATGTACTTACATAAAAACAGATAGATTATTAGATAGATAATTAGTTTTCTAATAGATAGATAATTTGTGAGGTCAGAATTCAGTTACGAATTTGTTTAGGTACAATGTAGAATTTGCTTTATTTAATATTTACATAATATAAATTTTTTTTTGCTTATTTTTATAATTTCGATTATTTCTTATATTATTTGAAATTTTTCATGACATTTAACCCACAGTCTAAAACTCCAAATGGAAGAATGAAGAAAGGCCGCCGCTACGAGCCACAAGCTTACGAGGCATTCGACGTGTCACGTAACGACCACGACACGACCATTGAAACTGTCCTCGAAGACACCACATACAGCCTTCTAGACACCTCCCGACGACCTGAATACGATTTATCGCGATCCTCTCAAAATCTTCCAGCCAATAATTCATTTAATAAGCTCCCAGACGATAATATGAATTCAGAATTGACTAGAAGCACATTTCAACTTGACAACAGCAAAATTCAACCCACGCTCCAGCCTAACGGTTGAAATTCAATATGCCGAGGGTTTTTAGAACTACAAGGGGTATAGGCGACCCCCAGCGGATCGGTTTCGAATTGTTACGCTGAGTAGAATGAGATTTTGTACAGTTTTGTTTTATATTAGATGAAGTTCGGACGGTTTTTGCGAGGATAGCTTGGCGTGTTTCGTTCCTAATAGACTTACGTTCAACGAAGGCTGATTTTTGTTAAACAAATAGTACGGGTATCGAATTTAGTTCTCAAAAAGTAATAGCGCACGTAAAGTTATTCTCGCTCGAACCAAACGTGAGAGTCCATTTTTAAAATCATCGAGTTCAAACGTGTATATAATGTTTTACAGCCGTTTATGGCGTGTATATAGCGTTGTTTATCGGCCTGAGATTATAAGCAAGACAATAAAGTAAGGCGACACCTCGAATATTTTGCTACGCCGCGGAGTCAAACGTCAACGTATTTATATAATTATGAATTGAATTCCAGTGCCTGCATATAGTACACACCAAACCACTAATGGATATTATAATTAAAATAGTTCACCGTTAGTGCAACTTGAGCGTACAAACTATAGACCAAATGCTATCCAAAACAGCTATTACCTGACTACATGTAAATACGTATTTATTGATGTTGAAAAAATATTTATTTCTGATTTTTTTTCATAAACAGTTCTTAGACAAGCCTTAGAAGCTATCAGTTACCTTCATAATTTACATTCCACTATATAAAACATATACCTATATATTATTATCACTACAGTACGATTTTTTTAATAACGCACATTTTTTTCATATAATATTAATTATTATATTATACCTGTTGAAGATTTATTAGCAGTTTATAATCACGCCATTGTTCACACATTGAAAAAATAACTAGATAGATTTTTAAAAAGTAAATGTAAAATATTTGAAAAAGTTTATTAAGAAAAAAAAAATAATAAAAAAATATTACAACGAACTACTGATATTTTGTAAAAAAATACATGAAATAGTTTTATAAATAGGTCGTTATCGTTGAAAATGTTGGACGTTGTAAAGTACCTCTCCTGTTGCAATGGGACTTGGCTGTTCTTTTGGAAACAAAATCAAGCTCGTTGGTTATTCCATATCACAATTTGAATCTACCTCATTTTATTCGTTGTAAGGTTCTTTTAGATGTTACGATTTTAATGTTGAATCGAGTTTAAGTTTTTTTTCTAATGCCCATCGACGTGGTTAACGGCAGCGGCAGCCTTCTGGTTAGTTAGTGTTTTTTTTTAATTTATTCTAGCTGTATAAGACTTTTTTCTGATTTCTTGTGTTTCAAATACTTATTATTAGCATTAATTTTTTTTACAACAACTTCTTTAAAACGCACACGGTTAATCCGATTCGCGCTACAAACTCGCTTTTCAAATCACGCGTACGTTTTCTTAATAATAAAATTTTTATTTTAAAATAACATTTTGTTATATTATGAGATGAGTTTTCATTCAAAAATCATATTTGACATTCGTAAAATATATTTGATTTTATAAAGATCGATATTATAGTACCTCTAAAATTGTAAAGTAATAGTTTTTTCGCAAATATTACATTTTGTTTAAAATTTTCATCATATTGATTTTTTACGACACGAAGCACCTAGGTACAATTTATATGTAACACATATTTGTATTGATAAGCTTAGTATTTAAAAGGTCCCTTTTATGTAATACACACTACAATAATTTACACTCCATAGATCGTTTTAGACATTTCCTTTCAGAATAGTTAAAGTGTATTTTAAAGTACCAATAAATAGCATTTGTAAATATATGAATAAATATGAAATATAAACTCAGTTTAAATTATAAATAAAAGGAATCGCCGACTATGTACCTGAATCTTCAATTACACTAAGTTATCTAGCTTAGGACTAGTGTTAGATCGTAAAAGTCTAGAATTTTATCTTTGACGCTAGGTTTTTGTCACAGGGTCTTAAGCTTCGATTTTGACATCTAGGGCACGTTGAATCAAGCTGGTGTTTCTTTTTCTTTTAAATATTTTATATATTTATTATGTAGAAAGTAAAACGTTTCTGCTTCTGCGTGTGTTAGAATTTCGCTGTTGTCTTTTACAATACCTATATATATATACATATAGTGAGAAGTATTTCTATTAAATAACATTTATTAATTTGCTTTAAAAACTTAATTTTTATGACCCGGAAGCTTAAATGTCCACGCATTGTCAATTTTTAAATAAATCTTGTTAGATACTTCTCATTACAATAATATTATATTATAGGATTGTCCAATGGACCAATTTGAACCAAATAATACATATTGACAGTTACTCTACAGTGTATCTGTATTACCGACATTTAACTCTAAAATTTCTACTTATAATTATATTTACTTATTAGATTATTGTAACTTTAAATACATCATGTCCAACACGTTAATCTCATCTATAAAACTGGTCAAGAAAGATGCAATTCTGTATCAAACGGTAATAAAAAAATGTCTGTAAAAACAAACCGAAAAAAATTTGTATGTACCAAATACGTAAGATTTAATTTAATTTTTTTCAATAAATATATGTTAAGTTTTTCGTTTCAAAGTATTGTAATTAATTTATAGTTTTGTGTTTTGGCAATACTGAAATAATTGAAGAACCATAGACATTTATGTAGATATTATAAGCATAGGTTATGTATATATTGTCACTAACACGTTCACAAGTTCACTCGAGGTTGTGTTTATTTCAATCACTTTTTGTATAGAGTAGCCATATGTTATTATGGGGTTATAACCTTTCACTTTTATATAAGTTTTTGTTTATTATTTTTATATACTACAGTTGTCTCTTAGGGTTTTATGGCGGTCAATATCTTATTTATGACAGACTTGTCTCAAACACTACCGTACACTCATATTAAGATTCCAGAAAAAACACCAGGATTTATTTACTATTATAATATTTTTAAATGAAATTTATTGTTGAACGTCTGTAATATCTTGATCGCCTTAAAGTATTGGTTTTATTTTCCTTTTAAACCAAAATGGTTAGTTTATTTCACAACAACAGATACCTGAATAACGTACAACTTGTATTTATATTATTTAGTGTAAGTACAGTCAGCGAACTTTTTACCGTAAAATTAATTTTGTATCCTCTATATAATTCAAAATTTATTGTTTTATCATCGGTTGACTGTACGAAATCTTTGCTTTGGGCTAAGCTACATATATATATTTTCGAATATAGCTTATTGATCCATAACTAGTTTATGAAAGTTTGAAATTGAAATCCCTTAACTATACTGTAAATATTTTACCTTAATACGTATTAAGCAAATACGTTGCTTAGACGATACTTAGCCAAGGCAAAGATTAATATAGCATAAGTAATAAAATTAATAAGTTTAAACGACTCCATTGATATTAATTTTTAATATACAGGTTTGTTTCATGTGGCTTGTCCGTCCTTGGAGTGAATTTCGAACAAAAGCCTGATGTACGTGCCTCGGAAAATTATTTCGAATCTCATTTTGCAATATTTTATTAACTGTTAACGACTCAAGAGGGATGGCACATAGATTTTTTAGTCTATGGCACGGCAATGTTGGGAACTAGATGGCGCTGTTTTAGTGTTTTGTAAAAGTTATACATAATAATCAATTACATGGAATTTTATTAGCTCACAATTAGAGATAAATAATTACAACTCATCACATGTCATATTTGGACAGTTATTTGATATTTATTTGAATTTGATAGTTATTAACATGTTTAATTGATTTTGAATGAATTTTTAGAAAAACTAGCGACCCTCGCTTCGCTCGCGTTCGTCCCTAGGTACGTTTTAATGGTTAGTATGGAATAGATAGACTACATATTATATATATATATATACATAGGTATGATGAGATGTTGTGGGTTATATATAACATGTTTTTCCGTGGGAGTGAGAAAATCTCCCGCGGTAAAAAATAGCCATGTCACTCTCCAGCCCTCCAACTATATCCATACAAAAAAAAAACACGCCAATCTATCACTGTTTCGACGTGAAAGAAGGATAAACAAACACACTTTGACATTTATAATATTAAATATGGATTTTTATTTTCCATTTAAAACAGCAAGGAAATTAAAGTTACAGTGTAAATAAATAGATATTAGTAGAACAATTCAGCGCTGTCTTCTTCTACCGAGCTCCATTGTTGGAAACGATTATGTTACGGTTATTCCATTCCATTATATTTTATCAATCGCAATTTATGAACTACACATTCCACTACGGCTGCAATAGTTTTTTCATACCAGATTTTTAGTTGTTTACTGTTTAATACTAAACTAGCAACACTGTGATAAAAAATTTTTTTTTAGATGATCTGATCTTTGATATTTCATGTTTTTTTTTTAATTTTCACATCCTGGACCTACCTGAAAGCTTTTTGACAGTGTTGCCAGATATAGTACAAATTTTATATTTTATGTATATGGTATCACAAAGCAATAGTTAAAACAGACAATGATATGAAATTGTTATCGTGTTGTATGTAGAAAAAAGGTTTTATTATTATTTTTTTCATTATAAATACCATGGTACTGTACTTATAAAGAAGCGTCCATTGTTTTCACGATCAGGGCTTAATTATGTATTTATTTAACTTATGTTTGTCTATTTCCTTTTTGAGTTTACAGGAATATTTGTTTTGCAATTTGCTTGCATATTTTATATGTTGTTCTTTTGTTTGGTACGCGAAAGGTTTGAAAGGGTGGCTTGTGTTTTATGATGTACTGGGTTTTAGTATTCATGAGAAGGGACTTCATAGATTATATTCGTAAAAAGGTTTTATTAAACGAACGAGCTTATGCTCTAAGCCTAAAATTAAAAAAAAACACTATCTGTACAAAATACAAATGGAGTAATAATCCATAAGTTTGACTGATGTTTTTATAAAATAGCATTCCTTCTCCAATCACTTCATCGAATGTTACGTTTGATTCTGAAATTCATTAAAAGAATGCTCAAAACCTCGCTATAATTACCCAAGTTTCAATTTACAAGTCACCCTTAGTAGAAAGTTAAGAAGTTGTTGTGTAAATTAATATACGTAGTATTTCGGTTCATATATGAGCCTTGCTTAAGTCAAATATCCTAGCTGGAATATTTTAATTTGTAATCCCATATGAATAACGTGCGATATTATTTGGTAGCACTTTTGAAAAATTATGCAAACATTTAAAATAATTGAATTATACAGAATTTTCTTTTTTATTACAACTTATTTCCTTAAATTATCATTCATGTAATTTCACATAAAAATCCGTGTTTTTGAAAGAGTAACTTCTTTAGTGCATGAATAATATCTGGGGGCACGGCAGTGCCCCCGCCAAGTCGAGCAAAAAAGCAGTACCATCCTTTTCTCAAAGCGATTCAGGGCATTTTCCACCTTATCCACCTATTATTGTATTAACTGGTATTAAAGTAATGTTGAAATTTATTACGAATCAAAGATTTGTTCGATAAATCTTTTTGATTTCATAGTTTTTTTCACTATTCCGCCAACTTCTTTCACTATTTTTTTGCGATTTACAGAAGTTTATGAGCTTAATTAAAAATATATTTCATTACAAGCTTTCGAAATCAAAATATTCCAGTTAAGTATACGTTTATTGTAAGATTTTTGTCGAAACGGTTTTTGGGGATATAAATATGAAATTTATGAACGTTATAATATTCAAAGTAATTTTGTGACGTAAACTATACTTTGTTACTTTACCTATTATTTTCTTTGTCGTACGGTAAAGGAAAATATTTTGAGGAAACCTGCATGACTGAGAGAACCTAGCAAGTTTTTGAAAGATATATAAAGTCCTCCAACCAGCACTTATCCCCCTCGTATTGAAGAAAGGCCCGTGCTCAGCAGTGGGACGTTAAAATGGGCTGAATACACTTATAAATTTCATTATATGCTTAAAAATAATAGAATTAGAATCCACTTACTGATCAATCCCAAAATTTGTAAAATGTTTATTAATTCCAATTGATAATACTTACCTATGATATTCTTTAAACATAATAATTCAGTGCTTCATACTTTCTTGGTACAAGGATTTTTTGTATTCAAAGACTGGAAAGAAAGTTGTTTTTTTTACAATGAATTAAACATTACTAAGTTCTTATGTAAAAAAGCAACATTTTATATCCCCAGAAGCCAACATTAGTTGTAAATTATTGAATCTACCTCAACCAAATTACCCATTAACGTCGTTCGTAAGTGTTCTCTTGAGTCTTATATTACTAATGAATAACTGATCGTAGTGTTTTGATAATAAAGTTATTATTAGTTCTGACTTCACATTTTGATATGGTGACTATTGTTACCATTGTATTGAATGTGGATGTGTTGCTGGTATAATCAAGATTGAAAATGATATTAAATTTGAGAATAAATGCTACCGTGTGTTTAATTTCATAACCCTTTCATAATTAGAGTCGGCAACCATTTTACTGTCTTTACTGCTCTGGTCTAGTGGCTAGAGAGTACGACAGATCTGGAGGTCCTGGGTTCGAGTTCTCGGTAGGGCCGAGTGTAATGTTTGGTTATACTCTACTATTAGTCTATTACTACAACTTACTATACCTACTGCTATTTTACTGTCTGTAGATATACTTAACACGAACGGTTTATTTTACTTTGTTACTACTTTCGCTTGTTCCTTTGGCAAAAGATACTTTAACTATATACATTTTTTAAAACCTAAATATACTTATGTCTTCTTTTTCTTAAACTTTCTAAATTTCTATATCTACTGCAGAATCAATTGAAAAATTGATTCTGCAGTAGATATAGAAATTTAGATTTAGATCTCTAGAATCAATTGAATCATCAAGAACAGAAAGAGACAGTCCTAATACAGGAATACAAACACAAAAATATAGTAGAATAAATGTTTTATTTACTATTTTCTTAATTGGACGAGAAGACTTTGACGACAAAGACGAGAAACAGCGCTTTCGTCTTTACGACGTAGCTTCGCTGCAAGACGAGCGAGGCTGAAGCGTGATCGGGGTCGCTCTCGACGTGGACCTGCTGAAACAATTTTGATTTTATAGTTTACTAGCAGTACCCTCGGCATCGCCCGCGTTTACCAAACTTCACAGGATCACCCACTGGGCTAATTGAAGATTGCCTGAAAATTTCATCAAAATCCCTCCAGCCATTTTGGAGTAATAGGGAACATATATACATACACACATCGATTTTTAAATAACCTATAGACTAACGTTCGACTAACGTTCCTCTAGGTACGTAACAGTAATCTACGTATTGCTCCAGAGCATATTTAGGTAGCCAATTTCATCAAAATTGAACTAGCCGTCTCTGTGGGAAGGAGTAACAAACATACACACAAAAATACATACAAACTTTCGTATTTATAATAGTAGTTCGATATGTTGCATTTTTATTTAATTTATTGATTTTTTTGTGAAACTGCTGCTAACCTTTTTTTTTTTTTTTTTTTTTAACGTCAGGAAAACCCTGTTCCCGGGTACCCGTCCGCCTGGGGATAGGCGGAACGGGTTATATGGGGCTCCTGCCGCGCAAAGATGGAAAACGCGCGGCAGCTTTCCCACTAAAAACCTGACGACCTTGTCGCCACAAAGCTGGGGTCACAGGTATCCGTATTCCTCTGTAAACCCCAGCGGCGAGAGCCTCTTACGGCCCATCCCGTATCAGGGGGCTAACCCCCAATGGCCTCTTCGAGAGGCGCGCGGACGTCTCCGCGCACGCCTACTCGGGCCAGATTAGTGGGTGGCCGACTTCCCCAAGCCGACCGCCCTCTGGCTGGTGTTAAGGGGGGAGGCGGAACTGCTGCTAACCTTCAGTAACTCTCTGCCAAGCTTCTCTGTCCACATTCACCATACCAGTAGACATACTGCGTCCAAGAGCTGACTCTGATGTATTTTCTTGGCTTTCTGCTGCATCGCTCTCGTAACTTATACGGCTAGATCTATAATAACGTGATAGTGTAAGAATGTATGCTAGGTAAATTAAGAAGATTGATGATCATGAAAAAGAATGTATGGGAAGGTAATAAAATATTAATTTTCACTTATTCAGAAATGTTAACTAACTATTGGCTCCCATTTTAGGACTGCTTTTTGAATAAGTGAACAGAAAAACGGTCAATAGTATAAGACACATCTTTATTCTTTAAAAGACAATAAATATATAGAAAAGAACATTTACCGATCAACTGGTCTCAAATCATTAGCAGAACTTGTACCCTCACGTCTCATCGGCGTGGTTGAAGAGAGAAACTTCTCTCTCGCCGCTCGTATCCTTGCTGCTCTCTCTGAAAGTTTGGCAGCCACGACTTCGCTGTTAATGGAAGGATTTGGTGGTTCAGTTGCAGATAACGACCTTTCAAAATACCCAGGGTTTTCTGCCATAAAACGTGATAAGCTTGGAATTATTGTTTCCGATTGTTGTCTTAAAACTGGTGGTGGCACATAAGTGTTTACTTCACTGCTTAAATTAAAAATTTCTTGCTTCACTGGTACTATTGTATCAGTACTTGCTGCAGAATTTTGTATAGTTTCTTGACTATCTTCAATTTTAGGAGGAGAAACTACAGATCTAGTCTGTTTTGGATGTAAAGCATTTGCGCTGTGAGATTTTAGTACACCATCATAGGATTCCGGCGTTGGATTTAAAATTTTATCTACAGAGGTTTGATCGCGTCTTGGCAGCTGAGAGGCACTTGCCGATTTTTGAACTTCTCTCTCTAAAAATGGGTTATTTCTGAAAATTAGAAAAGACCATTATCATGATTTATACTTGCTTTATGTCATCGCAAGTTGTAACTAATATTGTCAAAAACATTTTAATTTTTGTATTAATTATTTACCCTAATTTACCATTGTTCACAATATTGAATAAAGTTACCTTATATTAACACCCATAGGCATATCAGGAGGTCGCCGCCTCTCTGACTTAGGAGATCGCCATGCGGGAGAAGTTGTACCACTACTAGCGCCTGATGGAGGTCCTGATAAAAAAAATAGTTAACGTTATCTATAAACATTCTTTCAACGATTAATAAGTCCTATAAATTATTATTTTTTAGAAAAAATTAAAGTTAAGTTTTTTAGGTTAGAGCCTTTCTAACCATGCATTCATTTCTAGCCGTAGTGACACGAAGCCTAAATTTCTACAAAATACATTTAAATTAAATTTTTACCTTCTTCATTAATTTTTTTATTATATCTTTGAATCATTATACGAATCGAAGGCGCTGTTTCTTTTGGTGGAGGTTTCCGTTGCGATGACGGTGATGATGGAAGAGGAGGTCGACTGCTTTGCTTTGGTTCTTCGTCTTGTAGATCTCCAGAACCTTTTGATTTGTTATCATTTTCTTTCTTTCTACTATGATCTTTTTGCATTCTTGGTTCAGATTTACGATTTGTTAATGGTCTCACTTCGTCCAAATCTTCTACATCCACTGGTATGACAGCTCTAGGGATAGATTCACCACTACGGACCACAGGTGAAAATATTTTTCTTGTTGTTTTCACTATCACTTCAGGCGAAATATCACGTGTTTCAGGCGCCTTGAGTCTTAGTACAAATACCTTAAATAAAATAGTAAATATATTTGATTTACACGGAATACACCCGCATACTCGTATATATTGTCGCTTATAATAAGACAAATTCTATTTAATTAGTAGTAATAGGTAATAAATATAAATTTTATTAATAGCAGGATGAGAACGATATTTGAAATTTACCTCTTCATCAGAATCTGAATGCAGCGGTGGAGTCCTAGGCTTTTCAGAAGGTCTTCGAGGGCGTTTTCTTCTCCTTGGAATTTCTACGGTGACCGTATCGACTTCCGGCTCTGTGTCAGTTTCAGATGGCTTTGACTGTTCCCTTTCTAGCCGAGCACGAGATTTCGATTTCTTTTTACCATTGTTTTTATCTACATCTTTTCTTTTAGAATCATCTTTTGCCTCATCGCTACCATTTTTTTGTTCCTTAACATTATCAAATTGTTTTAAGTTTTTCAAACTAACACTTTTGCTAGTTGAAGGGCTTTGTTTATCATATGAATTATCAAGTCGTTGAAAATCAGATTTATATTCTTTAAAACGATTGGAACTGCTACCTCTTTCTATTTCTTCGATAGTTTTTCTGATAAATTTGGCATCTTCTTCAATACTTGGTTGTCGTACTAATTTCACCCTAGCACTTTTTTCTTGAGTCAACTAAAAATACAAAACGGTTTAACAGTTTTAATTATTTTAACCTAATGAAATTATTATAAAAGATGACGCACTGTGCTACCTGTTCGCGAGAAGATTTTGTACTGACTGTTGCCTGTTCTTTGGATTTTATGCTTCGGGAATCTGAAAGAATAACTGTGGAGATTTTAGTAATGATTATTTAATAAGAAGACAGTACTAAAAACTTAAGCTTTATTGTTATATTTGAAAGAAATACTTCATCGTTAAATATTTGTTTTTATATATTTAAATGCTATACTTTCTTGAATAAAATTATATTTAGTTAGTTTTTAAGAAGATATTTCTTTTTATCATAACTAATTATTAAAATGCAAGAAATTAATTTTATACACATATATTTTATACATAAATTCTTACCAGCGCCATTAGGCTGTAAAACAGCAGTTCCTGTAACAGTAGAATTAGTTTCACACAAATGCCTAGCTTCAGCTTGTCCATATGTATAAACTGGTTTTTGGGGTGTGTGTCGAGGAGACACCGCAACAAGTGGTGCGGCTGTGCAAATTTCTTCTGCCTCTACTTCAACAAGGACTGCTTCACGACCATTTCCACCGTCACATTCGTCAGCACCAATCAGCTAAAATTTTGAGCGTTAATTAACCTGTGAGCGAGTATTGCTCATTCAGACAATAAAAAAAGTTATATTTTATTAGTGTATTTTATTGGTCGAGTACAATTATGGTGGAATACATTTTTGCTTTAAATATGAAGTAAAGATCATGGAGGTTGTGGAATTAATTGGCAGTGAGTAAATCCACTAACAATGTACTGTGGATCTAAGTCGAAATAATAAACTCAATATTTAGTCAAACTATCCACAGATTGTAAAGTAATTAGAGCTATTAATCATTATTTCTGAAAACAATAACTTAATAATCTCTTAAGTAGTACATACATAAAAATATATATATTTATTCCATTTTAATAGTTTTATAAATCAAACTTACAGAATGCTCCCTTTCATATTCAGAATCGAAATCATCAGCGTCGTTTACACTTAGACTAGATGCATGGACTCGTCCTGGGCTAGCTGATGGAGCCACACTACCATCAGACTGTGTGCGTGTGAGTGCCGTGCTGGGCAGCTTGCCTTTCGCTCGCGCTGCGCGGAGTAGGGCAGAAGTTGATGCTTCCGGTGCGATTCCTCTCGATTTCTCCCACTCGTGAAGTTTTCGGGTGAAAGATCGGGAAATACCTTAAATATAGAATTACGTTTTAATGGTAAAGTAAATCATTTATTCATTAGATAGTAAATGAATGATTAAAGTTTCATGCCGGCAAAATTAAGACTTGCTTACTGTTATTTAAAAATTTAGTACTGTACTTTTTCTGTTATAACTATTGTTGCACAAGAAATACCTTGGAACTTGAAAAGTCCTGTGGATGTCTGTACTAACACTTCATCAGGTTTGGCCTCTTCTTCCCAAGCAGGTACTGAATTAGTTTCCTTCATTCTTTTCCATTCATCTTTAAAAATAAGTGAACTTTACATGCTCTTTTTTAACAATGGATAAATATTGAGAAAGGTTGTTTTTAGAAGTGAGATCAACAAATAATATGCTTATTGCCTATAGTAACACAGAAGTAAAGATGTACAAAAATATTGGTGAATACCTCTTATCTAAAAAGTTATGATATGAACATAGTTAAAAAATATCGTGTATCTAACGTAAATTCGTAAAAAATACACTATAATTCGTTTTTTTTTAATTCCATGATCATTAACAACAACAATAAGTATGATATTTACCCCATTTCTTAAGAAAATCATCGCTTAGGTCCTGGCGGGCTGGCACGGGTGGTGGTTGCTTCACTCCCTTCATACGTTGCCATTCTGTCAACTTTTTGTGAAAATCTGCTGACAGCTGCTCTTCTGTTGCCACTGGTCGGGACGCTGATATAAGATGAAAAACATTTAAATACCATTATGATACACTTTTTATAATAAATGCACATAATGATCATAGCACGTTTGGCTCAGTTTGTAGTGACCCTAGTTGCTGTGCCAACGGTCGCGGGTTCAAGTCCCGGTGGGGCCAGTCATTTGTATGATGAACACGAATGTTTGTACTCCCATCATGGGTATAATGGGATATTTATAATATGTATGTATTAAAAGTTATGTATGTGTATCAACTATCTGGTATCCATAACACAAGCTTCGTAGCTTGTCATGGAACTAGATGGTGCTGTGTGTTAATGACCTAATATAATATTCGTTTTTAAGTTTATCTATGTAAATAGGTATCTTTTATGGAGAAACACAATTTTTATATATTTTTCGAAAAAAACACCGAGTGAAGTTTTTTCGCTCAGGGTACTGACATAAGAAAGACTAAGAAAGACAACTAACCTGCATATATCTTCTCTCTACGATCAGAGAATTCCCTGCGCAGACGCGATTGCAACGCGGCGTAGTCCCTCGCGATCTCCTCACGCACTCCGCTCGCTTCACACCCACTGCTTATGCCCTCAGTATCTGAAATTAAATTACTGTACTCTTAGCTTTTTAAATAAAACTATCTTTTCGGATTTTTCGCGGATTTGTTTTTGGTTCCCGACTTTTAATCATGGTCACGGGAGACACTAAGGTTTTCGACGTCTCTAAGGTCACAATATATGTAGTTGTTACAGATAATGTCCACAAAATTACAAAATGGCACCTTACAATGTGGCACCTTACAATATTTGTTAATTTTAATTTTAAACATGAGTTATAATTTTAATAAATTTCATTTTTAGTTCTTTATTAAAGGCTAGCGACTCACCCTCACTCTGCTCGAGTTCGTCCCTATTTACGTTTTAAGGTTTATGTAGATTTCTCAGATATGAGAATTTTTTCCGCAGTGAAAAGTATCCTATATATTGACCCGGACAGTCAGCTATCATCATACCAAATTGCACCAAAATCCCTCCAGTAGTTTTTCCGTGATGCGGTAACAGACAGACAGACAAAAATTCTAAAAACTATAGATTCGGCCTCTGTATCGATAATAATGTCTATTTCAATAAGATTTTCCTAAAAATATTTAATATTACAGATTCGGCGACTTAATAAAGAAAATAATCAAGGAATAAGGAGGTAACATTACACCATAATACAAAAAATAGATTGTTTATACGTTATTTTTGACATTTATGACAAGAAGTGACAAATGACAAAGCTATAAATTTGACCTTTCTAGTGTTTATTAAAATTTATAGAAGTTAAAACTTAAAAATAATGACTTAATTATAATATGTTAATATATTTCCTCATACAAAGATGAAAATATAACATTTTGTAATGTCTTAAGCATATTATATATCACTTAATTTTATTTTAAAGCCATCAGATCAAATCGAGCCTGCTCATTTCAAAGTTTTAATTCAGAAATCAGCTAAAAATTGAAAATAAATGCTGCAACTGTTAAATTGCAAATGGTTGCAAGCATTATCGTTGTCGTGCTAGTCCTCACTGTGTTTTATGCATTTGTAAGTATTTAAAAATATATGTATTCATATTATATTAAAGACTAGCGACTCACCCTAGCTTCGCTCGGGTTCGTCCCTGAGTTGATTCCCCATACAAACTTTCATTCCCATTTTTAAAGGATGATTTCCGGGATAAAAAGTTCGGTTCAGTAGATCCAGAGATTACTCCAACAATGTCACAAGCTCACAAACTTTACCTCTTTATAATATTAGTATAGATTTACTTTACTTTATTCAAAATATAACAAAAGTTGTTATATTTTGAATAAAGTAAAGTAGGAATAATAGGAGAAACGATATTTTATAAATAAAAATTGGAACGAATCGACGATGTAAAGTTTTGACTGTTATTATAAAGAGAGAATGAAAATTTTGTAAGGTTTTTTTTGGATATAGGGGATAATATCCGGAACCACTATCTTCCATTGTGTTTGAAAAAGTCTTTTAACATTTGAAAGGTACTTTATTACAGATAGACATTAAGGGCAAAATAACCAAAGCTATGACGGTATTTTTCAGCTAAGTAGGAAAAGATCTTGCCTCTTAAGAGCTTCCACGGCGTGCGCTGTTTAAATACCTTAAAGCAGCACGAAAACAATGTATGGCTGAACTGTTTTAGAAAAAGTTCACGATAGTATATGTACAATGTACATCTCCTAAATAACGCTGACAATAACTATTTTTATCTAGCACCTAGGGATACACCCGAGAGAAGTGAATGTACCTAAGTCATTAGAATATAATAAAACTATGAATTATTCAATTCATTTTTATAATACTATTCGCTTCGGATATGACCAACTCGTCATATTTTACTACGCGTTTTCAAACGTTTGCTTTATCCTGTGACAAAAGATACATTTACAGTATTTACTTGTGACTTACCTGCACACAGCGTTGCTATAGTTTAGTAGGTAGATCTTTTTAAGAGAAATAACTCTATAATACATGGTTTTCATATAATTTTATTAGTTTACGCGGCGCTCGCCAATAAAGGTCCCAATCGACATGATTTTTTCCGACATCTTCAACAATCATCATCATATTTCAGTCAATTTACACAAAACCATAATGAATTATACACCTAAACCTTCCTCATGAATCACTTCATCTATTGGTGAAAACCGAATGAAAACATTTTTTTACAACATTCTTAATACTAAAAGCATCTAGACTAGAATAATAATGTTTCAGGTGAATCACAATAGAGAATTCTCCGCTACAACTTCAGCGATCCAACAAATCTGGTCCGGCACTTGCAGGTTAGCCTGCAGGCAGAATAAAAGTGGGTTTAGGAGGCTGAGTGATTTAATAGACCAGGAGAATATTGTGAAACCGGGTTCTTCGAGCCAAGATATAACTGTGCATGCTGCGGGGACGACAAGCGTATGCGTTTGCGAAACCTGCCCTTGTCCTCTCATAGATAATCTATTGAAGTACTAAAATAATAATAATATTATCCGTTAATACCTATTTAATTTTTGTTAGTTTTTGTTAGGCAAGTGGTAATATTTGTTAACAGTGATTACCACTTTTTTGTGGTGGAAAAAAACATCGTCAGGAAACCTGCATGTCTTAGAAAACCTAGCAATTTCGAAAGACATGCTCAGTTCGCCCGCACTTGGCCAGCGTGGTGGACTATGGCCAGATCCCCCTCGTATAGAAAGGCCCCTGCCCATCCGTGGGACATTAAAAAGGATTGAATATAAACATAAAAACCATAATTCATTGCAAAATATAAATATTTTTTTTTATAAAAAAACCATAGGATGTCGTACGAAAGACATTGTAAGCAAAATTAACCAGAATTTCTAATTTACCAATACAATTTCTTATCTCTTCCACAGGATATGCAGTCCTGTAATCAATATATACTCATCGTGCATAGAAACATTATCAAATTTTTATCTTGACATTATTAAAACAGTAAGTGTATCAATGTTATTTTAAATAAAACTATCTTTTCGGATTATTTCGCGGATTAAATATAATAATAAATAGATAATCCGCGAAATAATCCGAAAAGATAGTTTTATTTAAAATGTCAAATATTCGCGTAAATCTAAGAAAAAAATATTACAATTTCCCTTCTTAGAAAGTAATATATTTTTGCGGCGTGTACAGAAAGAACACTATTACTATACTTTAGCTTTGTAATCTTACTAATATTATATGCGTCAGAATATTTATTTAGCCCAGAATTTACTATTATTGATAAAAAAATATCCAATAAAATTATATAAAATGACCATAGTAAATCAAAATTTTATTTTTAGTTGAGCGATCTCTATATTTATGTACAGCAAGTGACGACCGGTGGAGAGCCGTGCCAGAGACACACGCAGGTACACGTTGAAGTATACAAGTGTAAATGACAAATAAAGTACATCTCAGTCTATAATATGTAATTTGAAATGCTAGAATCAAATTAATTATCATAATTTTAGCCTTAGTCTAGTTTATTTAATTATATAAAAAATTATTTGGTAGGTATGAGAAAAGGTTGTAAAGTATTTTTCACCCTCCTACCCCCACCCCCCATTTTTTAATCGTGATTTTAGTATTTTTGTATGAACAATATCCAAATAATTTAATATTATATAAATACATAAAGCAAAAGAGTTTTTTTTTGTAAATTGAACGCGGGCGGGCCTGGTTTCTGCTGCTAACTTTATATATTTCTTTCAGAGGACATCCATAAGTAAAGGAGTGCCTAATCTCAGCTCAACGTCACCTGAAAAACTTAAAGATGAAGTTCAAAAAACGAAGAGCCTCTTAAATTTAAAACCTTCAACATCGATAACTTTCAAAAACGAAGCAGGCACTTCTAAAGCTCAAAATTTAAATTTAGAAATCGAAAGCTTGAGAACTATTGAAAGCACTAGAAGTTGTTCAAGATGTACCGAAAAAGGCGTAATTTGTATCGACAAATGTCCGAGAGCAAATGAGAAACATGAATAATAATAATATATTACAATCGCTATTTGATTTTCCTATTTAGAAGTATATCTTAACATACATAGACGCAGCGATGCTGCAAGCAAAGCCCTTTGAGATTTCCCTACAATGTAAATCGACATTAAAAATTATTTCATCATATTATGTATGTTTTTGTGTTTTTATATGTAGGTGTATATATGTGTATTCGAATAATTCGATATTTTCACCGATAGTAAATCGATTTTCATAATTATTTTTAAATAAATTAGTGTTCGGTCTGTGGTCGAAATTCATTAATGGAAAACATTTTTTTTTATTGAATTTACCTATCCATATAAAAGAAAGTTACTCCAATATTTTTGGTTAGTTTTGCAACACAAAAAAAGCATCAATGATAGTCTATCTCTGTCCCCAGTATGCAAATGTAATTTATGTCCCTGCCACATTTTATCAAAATCTGTTGAGCTGTTTAAGATAAAAAGGTTAAAAGAAACAGAGTAACTTCTATGTTAATAATAATATTAGTATGGATTTGACGACACGTTTGGCTCAGTTTGTAGTGATCCTACTTGCTGGTTCAGCGATCGCGTGTTCGAGTCCCGCTGGGGCATTCATTTGTGTGATGAACACGACTGTTTGTACTCCAATCATGAGTCTTTATATTTATAATATGTATGTACGTATTTAAAGTTATATACATACATATGTGTAGTATATCAACTATCTGGTATCCATAACACAAGCCTCGTAGCTTACCATGGAACTAGTTGGTCGTGTGTTAATGTCGAATCATATTTATTTAACAAATAAGTATCCTATTAGTATATTTTTAATAAAAAAAAGTTTTTTTTTATTTTATCTATACAGCAAACTACAGCACAGCCTATCTGTACCATTGACACATTAATTTGAAATGTAATATGAAGTACGTCAGGTAAAATCTTGTTTAGATACAAATTTTTCCCAATTTTCATGCCTTCGTAAATCAACAAGTTATATTTTTGTTAATATGTCACAAAAATATTTACATACTAATCTACAAAATTTAAGGACAAAATTTTAAAATGGAAAGCTGTCCGGTTCGCAGAAGAAGTGAGTGTATTGAAATTTTATTCTATAACAAACATAAGCCATATCCAATCTCAACTAAGTATAGGTAACTACTTTTTGGATATATATATATATATATATATATATATATATATATATATATATATATATATATATATCCAAAAATATATATATAAAGTACCAATGATGTGATAAAACTAGGCACATTAGCTTTAAGTATTTAAGTATCATCATAATCATCATATTCAGCCTGCTTTAGTCGCATCTGTTTAGTTTGTAGTTTAGTGAATCAGTACGCATCCTATCGCTCTATACGTATAATGTCCACTTAACTGGCGTCCTACGCTACGTTTGCCGAGCCACTCTAGAATCTGTCTACTCCATAGGTTATCGCTTCTGCGACTAATGTGACCAGTCCACTGCCATTTCAATTTGCAACTATTGTTTTTTAAATATTACCTACTAATAGTTATTGCACTCATATTACAAGTGCTAAAGCTTGAGAGTAATTAAAACTTCTTTACGCCAAACGCCTTTAATTGAATGATTGAAATGGAAAAAGCATACATACAGGTGGTTGAAAGTTAGTACTGCACTACAATCCAACGGAACCCTTTAAATTTTCATGGAGTGTCGTACAATTATTCACGACGAGGAAATAAAAGATATTATGTATAGCAAAATCAAGAATAGTAGCAAAAACAGCAAAACACGCTACTATTTTGACTTTTTTGTTAGCTGACTGCGTATATATATTTATTAAATCTGAGTTTTAGACATAATACGATTATGAGTGAGGCCCCGAACATAGAGTAGTAAAGTATATATGTATAAGAATAATTAATTATTATTTGATATTTTTAGGTAGACCTTGTCCCATACTGTGTGTTGCTAAAGCTTTGCTGTTTGCGTTGGTTGCTGTGTTTATTTTGGTAAGAATTGTACAAAGTAGTAGTGCATAGTTTTATTGAAATAAAAGTGACCTTCTAGTAGAAAGATGGAATTTCCCACGTTGGTACTGCGTGCGCTCTTTCCTATAATGTATTATAATTTGGCCAAAACACGAGCGAGGCGAGAACAATTTGGCGATTTGGCAAACGTCTCATATAGCGTGTCCGGTTAAAAAACGTAATCATATTATGTATGTATTGTAATTCATTGTTGTCAACAGTTTCTAAGTTGAGTGCAATTATATTTTTTGCATATGCATAGAACCTTAATCATTTTTTAGATTTACGCGAATATTTGACATTTTAAATAAACAATTTTTTCGTTTTTTTTCGGCAGATTTATTTACATATTTGGTTTCTGACGTTTCGAATGCTTTACAGCAATCATGGTCACGGGAGAGACCCCGCGAAAAATCCAAAAACATAGTTTTATTTAAAACTTAGAAACTTATTATTGATTACACCAATAAGTGCGAATGTTTGTTTTGTGTGTATATTTATTACTCATTTACGTTGGAACAACTGAATTTAGATACAATCTGACCTTGATAGCACAGGCTATTATTATATATTATTAGTAATAAAATTTGCCAAAATGTCTACTTCTGTCTGTATAAAATATAATAAATAAAAGGCATCTAGAGACCCTAACGAAGCCAGGGTAAGTCGCTAGTTTTAAAGTTACTGAAATTATTAAGTTATCTTGCACTGAAAAATACCTAGCATAATACTTTCATAAGTATACGCGAATATTAGACATTTTCACTTTGAGACGTTCAAAACTTTAGTCTCTCCCGTGACCATGATCGCTGTAATTAATTCGAACGTCGGGAATCAAAAATCAAAATAAATACGTGAAGAAATTTGAGAAGCTAATTTTATTTAAAATATCAAGCATATACAGGGTCTTTTTTAATTTACTGAAAACCTTTTGGGAATACACTATTTACAACATAACTACAACATCAGTAAGAAAATAAAAAATATCCTAAATTAAACAAAAATAAAAGTATTTTTATTGCACCTTCTCAACAGTAATAGTCCAGCATTAGCAAAAGAAAGTGCGTGTCCGGTGGAGGGGGAGGGGTGGAGGGGTGTAGGAAGCCGCACTTACTCATTTAAACTTGGCCAGATGCTAGAACTTTAAGTTTAGAAGGTGCAAAAAAAATATTTTATTTTTGTATGAAAATAAAAATTTTAGATATATTATTTTTTCTTGTTACAGATGTTGTTGTTATGATGTAAATTGTATATTCCCAAAAGGTTTTCAGTAAATTAAAAATGACCCTGTATAAAATTATTTAAAACACTTTCCAGTACTTGCCGCTAGGTGATCCTAGAGACCAGTGCGGTTCTAACTGCGAGGGCAAGCTGCTGGGTGTGTGCTGTCTTTGTGATATATATAATGCGTCCATTAAGTAAGTCCTTTTTGACTATCATTGCATAGTAGCGAGTTGTTGGAGTTTCATACCCAACAAGTTCAGGCAAGTCCCTGCTACTAAAACCTGCTGTCACAAAATGGATAAAAATCTCGCTTACTCATAAAATAAAATATGTGTTAAGGTATGTAATACTTAATACGAGTTTAAAGTTTGTCTGTTTGTTTATTTGCTAGCTATTTCTACCTACAATGTCACGTATCACATAAAATAAATTAGGTAAAATTATATTTATATTTTTTTATATATTGTACTGTTAGTTAGTCTAAATATTATAAAGTTGTTTTGGGTCACTTGTATTTGGGTTGGAATAGATAGGCTATATATTATATATATGCATAGGTATGATGAGTTGTTGTGGGTTGTATTATAATTTATAACGTGTTTTCGTGTGGGAATTAGATAATATCTCCAGCCGATAGTTGGAACTATCTTCACACAAAGTCACGCCAATCTGTCACTCTGTTTTGACGTGAAAGAAGGACAAATAAACACACTTTCTCAATTAAAAATATTAAGTATGGATAATACTTATATTATTATTATACTTAAAACTTAGTATTTACGCTCTTCAATACAATTAAATACATTGAACTGAAAAATGTACTCAATTGTGTGCACAAAACGAATGTACACTTAATTATTATTGTACAAGTCATGTCCGCGTAGAATTATGGCAAGAATATAGCTAGCCGCATTCGGCAAAAGACGAGTCAGCTCTCCTGTCACCGGTAGAGGTGATAAGACGTGTTATCTTTTAAAAAGTGTTTAGCCATTGACTCCATAGACCAAGGGTTTCTACAGCAAGTGGTATAAAATTATAATTTTGACTAATTGTAAGACGTATTTAAGCCTATTTATTATTATTTTTGTTTTTAGTATAATATGTAATTATGCCTTCGAAATTACATTTCAGACTTGGTAAAAAACCATTAGAACTAGTAGAGCATCTACTGTGTACGCTCCAGAATCTGCTGTACGATCTAAAAATGAAAGTGAGTGCCATACATTTTAATGTATCTCATATTGAAATAATATCTGCGCCTTCGTCGTTCATGTGTTTTGAACTAATTAAAAACCTTTAACAGTTTTTACTATTACTAAAATTACAAGAATACTTCAAAGTTTTTAGTATGTATGTGATTTCTTCACTATTTGTTAATTCGAGTAACACACACGTAAAAGCTTTCGTAATTATATTAATGTTATGATTACAGTTCTACGCAATGTTGAAGAGAGTGGACCACGATGACCTGTGTCGGTCCATTTGCTCTTCGGATAGCACAGTAAGTAATTATTTATTATCTTTAAAATTTAAGGCTGAATGTTGAATTTGCCAGATCTGTATCGTCAGATGTTATTTTGACACAGTAACTGTTATAAAGACATTATTCGGGGCTATTGTTTAAAATATATATTGAATATTAACGGTTTTTTAGTAGCTTCCAGCATAATTTTAATCAGTGCTAGCTATTAAGAATCAGGTCAGTTTTAGATTATTCCCTGCAAAAATAAGCAAATTTAAGAGATTTTTCAAGGTAATCTTAGTCTAAGAGGTACCTTAAAACGGTCTTCTTCTCACCTTTCATAAATACATTCATATCTAACACTCTCTTGCTTATATAATTTGATTCTCACACTTTACACTCAAATACTAATCAGCTTATGTGTCACTGGCACAATTTTTTTTTTTTACATTGTAAGATAATATAATGATGTAAATTAAAACAAATTTTGTAAATACAGGTTAAAGCAGAAGACGGTAAAGACAGACCAGGTTGCAGATGTTCGAGGCGATGCTGTAGAAAGAGAGCTCAATCATAATTTTAGCTATTAAATTATTTTCTACCACTGATTTGTGGTTTTTTTTTCTATATCAAAAATACCTATGTAAACGATGCCAGTTGTAGACAGCCAACTTGCTGAAGGTGGCTCTAAAATGGAGATTGGACATTGAAATTGCCAAGGAACAAATAAATTGCAATATTAATTAATGCCTGCGGTGCCGCTAGTTCAATTTCGGTGTACACAAGATATTACAGTGATGGTGAGACTGGTGAGAGATGAAGAGCAGGACCGATGGCTTTACATGCTTTCCGAGGCAGGAGAGTGAAACACCACCAAATTTCCAACTCTGGGCTGTTTTTGAGAATTGCTTGACAGAAATTTAATGGCTATACCAACGAGGCAATTGGTCTGAATCCAGAATGATAATAACATGTACTTAGCCTACGCAAGTGGAGTCACGTGTAAAAACAAGTATAAAATAATAGCTAAAGAATCACATTAATTTCCATAAAGCTTTAAATTTAATTTAAAAAAAATTATCTATCGATAAATTATTCAACACTCGTTTACTACTTGTTTGTTTAAATAGAAACATTATAACTGTATTTCAGAATTTTTGCGAAATAGCAAAAAATAAATAAATTTGAAATTATAAGAAAAAATACACTCCAATAGCTGTAAAACAGTTTTATGGGCGATATCGTAAACATTTATTCGCCTATCTCATATAACGCGGTCTATTTCTGACCGACTATTTTTAGTTTACATTGTGAAATTTCTCTCCTTCGCTATGAGGGGTCGATATTCTACTCTAATCTTTATTTCACTTTCACTGGTGAGTGCATGTCACATACATATATAAAACACATACATACATTCGTATGTACAATGTACATATATACTTAAAACGCCAAAATGACGTAAATCAGAGTAACTCTGTTCGAATTCATTTCCATGGGATATTATGTAGAAATCGAACTGTATTTTTTGACATTGTAATGAATGCCAGTCAATTTATCTCTCTACTAGGGGTCTGCTTTCATTTTCTAAACTTATTATAATAACAAGCAATTCAATCTATATATGAAAATCTTAGAAAATTAAGTATCTACATTTAGAGACAAGATGAAATTTTATTTGCTACCAGACACGTTGACTTTCTACGATCGATATCTCTAATAGAAAATAGTGGTAGCCCAGTAGTAACGCGATTACTTGGGAAATAAAAAAGTGAAACGAATTCAAATCTCGGGTCTTAAAGCTATGATAGTTTAATGTGCAAAACATTTTCAACATATGTAACTACTACTTGTCTTACGGTGAAGGAAAAACATCGTGAGTAAACCTGTATACCTGGGAGAACCTAGCAAATTTTCCAAAGACATGTGAAGTCCGCCAACCCGCACTTGTTCAGCGTGGTGGACTATGGCTTGATCCCTCTTGTATTAAAGCAAGATCTGTGCCCAGCAGTGGGACGTAAAATAGGTCTAATTATAAATTATAATGAATACAATAAGATAATAAACCTTACAAACGAATATTGTAAAAATGCGAACGTTTCGACTCAATACATTTTTTTCTGATAGCGATAGCGTTTGTAGAATATTGAACGGATATTTATTTTTATTTCAACATAACACTTAACACTAAATTTTAAACATATACCTATTAAATAATAGTAAAATATAATAGAAAGCACGTCTACGCCCTTAATGATAACGATTAGACGTGTTCTATCGCTACCTTATTCTATTTACATATTATAATAGCCTAAATTGAAAGTATAAATAGGTTTTATTTTCTATATATCGTATACCGAGCAGAAGGTTAAAATACTTTAAAGTTCATGTAACATTTATGTATACCTACATATAATTCCGGACGAAAATCGAACCAACGACCTCCAATCGAAAGGCACTTCAACAATGATTTATCAATCTTGTTTGTACATTTACTTTTTGATGTCCCGAGTTGTATCACATCTCTGGCACGAGTTGACCAATTAGTAAAAATTATGGCTTTTTCATCTCAGAAAAGTGTTTTTGTTCTCAAAAGATTTAATTATTAAATCAACAAGATGAGGACAGAATGATAAATTGTAACAAGTATTCTTACAAGTTCGTAAAATACTCATACAATATTAAATATGTTTTTTGTTTTATTGTACTTCACTAGTTTCAGCATATGGATTTGTTCATGTGGAAAATAAAATAAATGTACGCTAATTGGGATGCTGTGGCTTAATATTTGTGTGTATTAAGGAATATTGTAAACCAGTCCGTTAATCACGAAAACATTTTGATTTTTAATTTTAATTTGTAATCAGTCCTTTTTTCAATGCGAGAGAGATCAGGCCATAGTCCACCTCGCTGGACAGGTGCAAGCGGACTGAGCAAGAGCATGTCTTTAAAAAACTTGGTAGGGCCTCTCAGACATGCAGGTTTTAATTTGAATCTTTCCATAATAGATAGGACTGGTTGTATTGGGTGATTTCACTCGTATCTACGATTTTATACTAAACACGTTTACAGCGTCAGGGAACGTACTGATTTTAGTTATGTTATTTTAGCGTAGAATGTAAATATATCTGATTTTTAATAAAATTATATCTTTGATCTTTAAAAAAGATTGAAAATTTGATCATGAAAATAATTTTTTTTATTTGTTTTTAATGGTATATAAAAATATAACTTCTAGGTATAAGTATAACATAAATTAAATAAAGTTTATGAGCGCTTCACAAAATTTACTGGCGTTCAACCGCCAACGGCCATTTATTTACATACATATAAATCAGAAACATATAGTAATATATTCATTGTTACATCAAAGAAGATAGCAGCTAGTCTTGAAGTAATTAAGGAAGATGTCGACAAGATTATAGAAGATGAGATAACTCATAAATTAGGGGAAGATCTATTACAAAGTATTGAGAGAAAGTTCCAAGTGGACCTTGAAAGGTAAAATAGGTTTTTTTTTGTGACATTTATCTATACTAATATTATAAAGAGGTAAAGTTTGTGAGTTTGTAACGTTGTAGGGTGTAATCTCTGGATCTACTGAACCGATTTAAACAAAATTTGGTAAGAAGATAGTTTGAGACCCCGGGAAGCACATAGAATACTTTTTATCCCGGAAATCATCCCTTAAGGGGGGAAAATGGGAATGAAAGTTTGTATTATGAAGCAAGCTAGTTACGAACCCAGGCGAAGCGAGCGTGAGTTTCTAGTAATCGATATACATAGCTACTTAATAAATAAATCAGACAAGTGCGAGTCTGACTCGCACACCGAGAGTTCCGTAACATAAAACATTAAAATAAGCTGATAATCGCAGAATAAGATATATTTTTGTGATGTTACTACTTTGCGGTATTCGTATTTTTCCCTTTACTTGTGCTATAAGAGATTGCTTCTTGTCAAATTTCACGATTCTAGGCCAACGTGAAATACCCTATGGGTAGGTCAAAATATGTGGCACAAACGGCTGTCTCTTTCGATTGTGTTGATTTAGAAGTATGATTTTTTCATAGCTCCAAGGTATTACAGACCTGAGTATTTGATATTAATTTCAACTTGATACCTCTCTCCACACATTGCTGAGAAAAAGGGTCTTTACAGACAAACAGATGGAAAACAAAGTGATCCTATCGGAGTTCCTTATTCCTCTTGACATGGGGAAAAAGCAAATGATTAAAAAAAATAGATTTTAGGTGTTGTTGTAGGTTGTAGGTTTGTCCCCCCCACCCAACGTGCGTTCACCTTGTCGTGGTGGGGGGGCTCAGTAGTACCCGGCAATACAGCCGGGCGCGAAGCCAGGAAACGCACATGGAGGTGGCCCACTTCGGTGGGCGGTGGGAGGCGGCCCTATTCGGAGGGCGGTGTACCATGCGGGTTGCTCCTGGTACTTCTCTGATAGCAGAGTGGACCTTGGAGCAACCCCGTGGTTGTTGTGGTCTGCTTTAGCAGACCTGTCGTCGGGGCGTCGTAGTTGAATGCGTAAGCGATCCTGCGACGCCCCATTAAGACGGGGGAAGGCTTTGTTGGGTTTTAGTGGGTAGTACTGGCTTTGCCGGTGAGTCCCACACCTTGTGCGTAAATGCATTTTCCAACGTTAAAAAAAAAGGTTGTAGGTTTGTTGTTTTTTAGTTTTTTTTTTTCATTAAATTAATGAAACATAAATGTGATAGAAAAGGTAACTTAGAAATTGATTATTTTGCAGATCTGTAGATATGGTGCTTATAAAAATTAAGCTTTTACTACAGAACGGTACCTTGCATATACAGGATAGACTTTCAGAAATACAACAAACGTTGGACTTGATGAGATCTCACGCGGGAGACAAGGTACGTATATCTGTATATGAAATATTTTTTGGAAAATCTTATGAAATAGTCACTACTATCGATACAAAGGCCGGTTCTATAGTTTTTTAGAATTTTTGTCTGTCTGTCTGTCTGGGAATGCATCAGAACCACTGCTGGTTATCCGGGTCACCATATAGGATACTTTTTACCGCGGGAATTTATCTCATATCCACGGGAAAACACATAATACAACTCACAATAATTCATCGTACCTATGTACAAGTATATAGTATAACTAGCATTGCCCGCGGCTCCGCCCGCGTTCAGATGACCAAAAACCAAATTCTTAGTTTTTATATATTAGTATACTCTTACAATGCAGTTTTTCTATTTTTCTCAGAAATGAGATATTTTCCCGCGGTAAAAAGTATCCTATATGTTGACCCGGATAACCAGCTATTATTATACCAAATTTCATCAAAATCTGTCCAGTGGTTTTCTCGTGATGCGGTAACAGACAGACAGACAGAAATTCTAAAAACTATAGATTCGGACTCTGTATCGATAATAATGTATATTTCAATTAGATTTTCCAAAAAATATTTAATGTATAGATTCAACTTAGTTACAATTTTATTATACGTATAGATAATACTATGTATCTAATCCACACTAACCGTTACCTACCCTACATAGGGACGAAGTGAGCCGGTGAGCCGCTAGTATTAAATAAAGTGTTTAAGTTACAGGTGGACAAATGTCTGAACGAAAAACAAAATCAAACGTCAGCACTAGCAGAAAAAGCCCTGCACCAAATGGTGGTGTGTGGATACGCTTTGATAGGGCAGGACCCCACTCAAGCAGTAGGAAAGGTTGTCGCAATAAAAGATATGATCAAATTGGGAGTAAAACCGGTACATGATTCTTTTTCCGGATTTTTTCGCGGATTTATTTTGATTTTTGGTTCCTCAAACGTTAGGTAAAGGTCGAAAACCAAAAATCAAAATAAATCCGCCAAAAAACAAAACAAATAGTTTTATTTTAAAATGTCAAATATTAGCGTAAATCTAAGAAAGTATTAATTGTTTTGTAACATATCCCAAACTTCACAATATAATTATAAATATCCTTTGAATGCAACTGTTAAGTTATATATAATATATGTTATATGTATATTGTATAAGTCCTCTTAGTAAATAGAACTAAATCGATGAAATTCTGGCAATTAATGATCTAACTTTTTCAGAATAGAACGTATAATATATATTTTTTTATTTTTAAGTCATTTTTTGATTCTCCAACTTCCTGTCCACGCTACGCCATAACAATCAATTGTACAGATTGAAAGCGGAATTAACGCTCAAAAGCTTAAGTTAGAGTCACTCATCTTTAGTTGGTGATTAATGAACATATAAAAAATTAGTATTTTATTTTGTTGGTGAAAAAACTGCGTTTTAAGAATAGTATATAAACGAAGAATATTTTATTCATTCTTTGCATTCCGTAAATATTTGTGAAGATCTCTAATATATCGTTTCCGCGTGATGTTTTTTTCACGCAATACCTACGCCATAGATAAAATATGATACTCGCGGAAAGTTCATCTAAAATTAACTTCTTGATCGACTTCAAAGGAAGAGGCACTTAATTTGGTATTCATTATGTGTATGTTTGTTACGCAATATCTTCATAAATTGTGAACTGATTAACGATTCTTTTTACGGATATATTTGAACTTAAGGTTGGTTTCATAAAATTTCAAGAAAAAATCTAGTAGGAAACGCCCGAAATTTCATTGATTTTTAAGTCTATGTTTTAGTTAAAAAATATTATTCAACTTAAATACTAATATTACGAAAATATACCTAAAAATCTTTTTACATAATATTATTTTAATTAACTCTAAATAATTAATGGAAGGAACATGAGACACAGTGATCAGATTTCTAGTTCTGAACTCCAAAGTTCGATGCACGGTCGAAGTCAATATTGGCATTCTTCATACAAATAGGTTTAAAATCTGAATCGTATATTACATAAGCATATATACTATATATAATATATTTGTATGTCTTTTATTAATACGTTCTTTCACATTGCAATGTAATAACCGAAACGACTTGATTTTAGACAATGATATATTTAGTTCATGGATTGAAACTTAGAACATTTGCAGAATTGAATTGAATTTGAGAACATTGGCAGAAGATACTTAATTGGGGCTACTTTTCATCCCGATATGTTAAATAGTTTCTGTAGGATACTAGTATAAATAATATCTACCTTAATCGAGCCTACTCCATCCTTTCACTATCAGAGTATTCTCATGACATGGAATCTTTCCATGTAGATAAGCATAAACAATCAGCCATATATTATCTCGGTCTTAACGACTTAAGAGACTGACCAATAAAATCTTTTTCAGCTTCATGAACAAAAGAAAGAAATTTATAGCCTGTTAAAAGTCTGCGGGCACCAACACGATGCTTTGAAAAAGGTCATCAAATGCGTCATATCGAAGGCAAGTTTTCATTTTAATATTGTGCTAAATGATTTTCGTGATGTAATATCTCGATATATACCTGTGGAATATGTAAAAAGTTAAGTGCGAGTGGAACTCGAGTGAGTGGTTCGGTATATTATGGGATATTTAAGAAAAATACTGGAGGTGTTATAATATTTTTATCTATTTGTCTTTATATTTTTATACATAGTACTTGTAAAATTGTAAGAACGGTAAAATTGTATAAACATGCCTAAAAAAAGTTGTATAAACATGACTCAAAAAAAAATATATTTGCAGGATAAAAATGTCCTTTTGACCAGTTTTAGTCACAGCAGCCAATCTCAATGAGAATAGCCACTTAGCTGAAATATTTCCTACTCAGTGCACTTCTGCACTCTCTATTTCTTTCCCTCTCAAACTCCAGTGTGACGAAAATTCGAGCAGTGATAGATCAGGTGGAGGACTGACGCGATACGTGTTCTCAGAGGTACGGAGAGGTGATAAAGCCAATTTACCAACTTCGGGCCACTACTTAGAATTACTTAACAGGAAAATGTAGAAATTTTTGTTTTGATCCGATTGAAGTACCAAGAGTAGGGGAGGGGGGGGAGGAGTGCGGGTTACTCGACCCACCAAAGTGGGCCACCTTCCTGTGTGTACGTTTCTTGGCTTCGCGCTCAGCTGAACTGCCGCCGGAACTGGCTCTAATGAGCCTCCACACCGCACACACTTCAAAAGGTAGACGCGCGTTAGGGGAGAGCCTCTAGGGCCTAAGCTAATTAAAACCAAACCACTAAAGTCTAATTAAAGTTTTTGCCTATTTTGTCAGTGTCGGTAAACAATCATTCTAATCTATTACATATAATAAAATTGTAACGAAGCCGAATCTGTACATTAAATATTTTTTGGAAAATCTTATTGAAATAAACATTATTATCGATATAGAGGTCGAAGCTATAGTTTTTAGAATTTTTATCTGTCTGTCTGTCCGTCCGTCCGTCCGTCCGTCTGTCCGTCCGTCTGTTACCGCATCTCAGAAAAACCACTGGAGGGATTTTGATGCATTTTTTTTTCGGGATAGCTGGTTATCCGGGTCAACATATAGGATACTTTTTACCGCGGAAAAATGTCTTATTTCTAAGAAAAAATACAAAAACTGTAATGTAAGAGTATACTAATATGTAAAACCTAAAAATTTGGTTTTTGGTCATCTGAACGCGGGCGGAGCCGCGAGAAATGCTAGTAGTATATATATTACTTGAAAAAGTCAAGTAGAGACAAAAGCAATATAAAGTAAACTATTATTTAGAAATATATATGTAGACGAAGCTACAGGTTGAAAGTAGTTAAGAATATAATATATTTTTCAGTTAGTAATCATATAATCTATAAATATGTCCGTCTCACGCTCAATCGGCGCTTGTGATCAATCTAAATTTAGTTCACTACGGATGTTTAATAATAATTTTGCGAAAAGTTTTAAAACTCAATATTTTTTTTCCTTGACGTTGAGCAGAAACCGATATAGAGCAAAAATTCGACCCAAAACAAACTGTTTGAAATTTATAAAGAAGAATTACGGTTATTCACATGCGTAAATTTTGGGCAAATTTAAAAATGTCGACGATAACCGCTCATGTTATTTGAATTTATTTTTTTAAAGATACAAAACGTATCAACACTGAAATTAAAATAAATGTTGTCTCCGATGAAATTAAAACTCATGCACTTAACTACAATGGCTGAAATTACGATATAAATACGTAAAAGTCCCGCAATGAAATTACAGTTACGAGTGTGATTCCACTGCATAGGTAATTGCAGTTTTGTAATAATTATCATATTATTTTCTGCACATATACCTTTCTAACTTTAAAAAATCTTATCTAAAATAAAGTACATTATGAAATCAATTTATAAATACACCGAGCAGGTTACTTTAATAAACGATTTCTTGATTATTTCCATTTAACTTTACAGTTCAATCTTGTTCAAACAGATTTATCTCAGAAAATTGACGTTGAACAGACTGATGTACTGTCCAGTTTTGTATATATCAATTTGTAGTGGACCACCGACGCGTGCGCAGGAATGCCAACAATGCTTCATATTAACATAATTTTGACACACCCACACCATTCTTCCGTTAGATCGTCTATAAATAAATATCGGCGTGCTCTCGTTTTATTGGTAAAGGTTAAAAATTACATAAGCTAACGTTTTTGTTATTACTTGACTAATTGTTATTGGTATTCCTAATTGTTTTCGACGACACATTTGAATTAGTTTGTAGTAGTTACCCTACTTCCTGTGCCAGCGGTCTCGAGTTCGAGTCCCGCTGGGGGCATTCATTTGTGTGATGAGCACGAATGTTTGTATTACAGTCATGGGTGTGTTTATATTTATAATATGTATGTATTTAAAGTTATATATGTGTAGAGTATCATCTATCTGGTATCCATAACACAAGCCTCGTAGCTTACCATGAAATTAGATGGTGCTGCGTGTTAATGTCCCAACATAAAAAAAATATGTAGTCTGATAAAATAATTTCAAATAATAGTGTCTTTTAAAATATATAGTATTGTATATATTGTAGATATTATTTTAAAATAATGTAATAACTAGAATGATTAATTATAAAACTGATGTAAGCTTTTAAAAAGCTTACATAAGAAAAGCATTAATGTTGCATGAGTTGGGGATTTTGGGAGGTAAAGTTTTGGAAAATACAACTAAGGCCAAAATTTTTATTAATATAAACTGTGGTGCACAATATGTTGTATAGCTCGAAATAAGAAATGTTCAATAGTTTTTAGGACATGGTCTTTTGCCGCGCTCAATATTACACGTGTTCATTCATTTATTATTGGTCTAACTTCTAATTTGAAATTATAGATGTTTTTTTATACGTCTTGGTATCTAATACATAAGAAACACCGATTAGGGTTGTGTTTTTTAAATCTATAACATTTTTATACAAAGTACCTATCTAAAGTAAATAAATACTTTTTTGATGCTATATTATTAAGTGGATACATATTATATTGTTCTTAAGCCCACACTTATAAGCTCAGCCTTGCGTGCAGACGAAGTGTATTTGTAACTTAATGCATTATTGGAAGCTAACCACAATATCGTTACCAACTTAAATTATTGTTTTATAAATATTCGCCGTCAGCATTAACGGATTTGTTTGAGTAAACAGTCAACATGACCTTACTAATGCGCCACAATAACTCTTGCTTTACCATTTTGGAACAATCACTATATCAATGACTGATGATTACGAAATCCATATATAAATAAGCAAAGAAAAAAGTTCCTTTGTTTTTTCCCCACTGTTTATCTATCGACTTTCTTTTTTTTGTTTAGTTATTGACGAGCTTTAATGTTATTAAGAAAATGGAAAGAGTTTTTTTATAAGTAAATTCTGTTCATATGTTTTCCTCAAATTTTCAATAATGATTAATGATTATGGTAGAATATGAACTACTGAGAGAGCACAAGTTTAAATTTATGAGCTTATATATTAACTATTGTAACTGCAATACAAAGTAAAGTAAACTGCAAAAAAGTAAATACGTAGCGTACATTAACGTTATAGCGTTACGAAATAGGAGATTATGATTATATAGCTCATTATATACATACATGCCTTTTTTTTTTAACGTTGGGAAATGCATTTACGCACGAGCTGTGGGACTCACCGGCAAAGCCAGTACTACCCACTAAAACCCAACAAAGCCTTCCACCGTCTTAATGGGGCGTCGCAGGATCGCTTACGCATTCAACTACGACGCCCCGACGGCAGGTCTGCCAAAGCAGACCACAACAACCACGGGGTTGCTCCAAGGTCCACTCTGCTATCAGAGAAGTACCAGGAGCAACCCGCATGGTACACCGCCCTCCGAAGAGGGCCAACTCCCACCGCCCACCGAAGTGGGCCACCTCCCTGTGCGTTTCTTGGCTTCGCGCCCGGTTGGGTTGCCAGGCACTACTGAGCCCCCCCACCACGACAAGGTGAACGCACGTTGGGGGGGATATACATACATGCCTTAAGTCTACTAGTCGTGTCGAGCAGTCGTCCCACCGGAGTATGAGAGTGGCAGGAATAGAGAGTGCACGTTGTGTCTGCGCGTACACTTGGGCACTATAATATCTCCTGCGTAATGGCTAGTCTCAATGAGATTGGCCGCCGTGGCCGGAATCGGTCAGGAGAACATCACTTTTAACTCTCACTGGTCGTGTCCAGTGGTCGTCCCACCAGAGTATGAGAGTGACAGGAATAGAGAGTGCACTTGTGTCTGCGCGTACAGTTGTGCACTATTATACCTCCTGCGCAGTCAGCTAGTCTCAGTGAGATTGGCCGCCGTGGCCGGAATCAGTCAGGAGAACATCATCATCATCATACATACATATGTATAGCACATTTCTCGGACGCTAATTAGTAGATACGATCGAGGTACGATCGAGTAATATTACAAATTTCCCTTGTTAGTTTTATTAATTAAATTGAACAGGTGAATTGAATATGGGAAATATTTTTATGATTAAAAACATTTTCTTGTAAAAGTTATTTTTTTCATTTTTCGACCTTCATTGTACTAAGCATTGCAAATTTAACCCCATTACATATCTATACAGATAAAAAATTGAAGTGTCTGTTTGTAGTGTCCAAATAATATAATGCATGTGAAATTATATATTTATAAGAAAAACACAATTTTTTAAATGTTTTTCTGTCCGCCTGCTTGTTCTGGCTAATCTTCAAAATAGATAGACCGATTTCGACGGGACCTTCACTGGCAGATATCTGATGTTATAAGGAGTAATTTAAGCTACTTTTATTTTAGAAAAAGAATTAGAGTTCCGCCCAAAAACATAAACGTAAATCGCTAACCTAACATAAGATGTTTAATCATATACGAAAATATTATTTTCAGTCACCACAAATAAAATCAACAATGATGGATATAACAGGTAAGCTAATCAATGGTGTCGTAGAATTGACGAAACTGATGGCTCACGGGGCAATGCACGAAGCTTGCCTTATAGAAGTCACTAAATCTACTGAAGATGAAGCTGTAAATATTATAGGGGAAGTGAGGAAGTGTGCTCTTGTAAATAACACTGAATTTGAAAATTTCATTGCAAATAATAACGCTACAGTTCTAGATATAAATAATAATGCAAATAAAAATGTTAGCAGCAATAGTGTGAAAGAAATGAAAGATATGATCAGAAGAATGCTAGAAGACAGTACTGATTTAAGTAAACAATTTAAAGAAAAATTGTATAATTTGCAAAACGATTTAAATAATGTCGACGCAAATGCCAATGTTATTGATATAGCCAAAGATATTAAAAATATTGAATAAAGGATTTTACTTGATGTTTTTATTTATTATTTAATAACTAACAACATAGTATATTATTTTTACTTTTAACTTTATTTGTTTGTTGTTTTTATTTTAAATTAGAATAAGAGCTAATGATATTTCTAAATTGTAAATTATCGTATATTGTAAATTGTTTTGGAGAAAAATTTTTTTTGGTAAAATTGGCCTTTACTTGGTCAATGCAATGCAATGCTTGTCAGTTAACGTTTAATTTAAGCATAACTTTATTACATCAATAGTTAAATTGAATTTAACCGAGAATTTTGCATTCGCCTCATACTTTATGTTTATTTTACATAAACATAAGTGCGTGAGTTGAAGTGTTTTATTATATGTGCTCATTTTAATGACCTTTTGATCTATCAATTTTAGAGATTAAAATTTTAATTTAGAATTGAAGTGTGAATTAGTGTTTTATTGCTGGCCTTGCGGTCTATGAAAAGTTTGTGCGTCACTATATTTTTGTTATAGAGATTTATCGAGACTTAAACACATTAAATTATTCTGATAAAAGAAATAATCGTTTAAGGTACAAAATTTTACTACGATTATTTTATTATTGGTACAAAATAACTATTTTACTACTGTTATTATATACATATATTGTAAATGAGTTACCTAAATATAATAATAAATTTTTGTCTGCCTGTTTGTTAGTAGTAAATGAACAGCTGACTCAGTAGTGAACATTTATAGCTCAGACTAATTTAAATAGCATCCTTATAGTATTATTACTACAGTACCAGCGATCGAGCTTCACTCAGCGTTCTTTTGGAAAAGATATAAAAATTGCGTTTTTCAGAAAACAAAAACAAACCTATCCCACGGGAACCGTACATTTTCCGGGATAGTGTTATTCCAGACTACATCTCTGTGCCAAATTTCATCCAGATCCGTTCAGCCGTACTGGCAAGAAAGAGTAACAAACATCCATACTCACAAACTTCCACATTTATAATATTAACACGGGTAATATGGATTATTAATACAAATAACGCATAAAGACGCAAGAGAACGGCGCTAATTTAAAAAAATTTTTACTCTTAACTCTATATCAGCTGTGAACAGCTCAATTTAGTTAATTACCCCATTTATTAATTACTAGCAAAAGCCGCGGCTTCGCTCGCGCTAAAACTGCAAAAAATCTCTAAAAAGGTAGTTTCATATAAACTTTCATCCCCTATTTAACCCCCTTATACGATGAATTTCGAAAAATGCCAAAACACGTATTTATTTAATTTTATTAAAGAGCTTTAATACCAAGTTTCAAGTAATTCTGATCAAAAATATGTTTTTGGATTGTATTATAACGTGTTTTCCCGTGGGAATCAGACTATCTCCCGCGATAAAAAGTAGCCTATGTCACTTTCCAGCCCTCCAACTATCTCCACACAAAAAATCACGCCAATCCGTCATTCCGTTTCGACATGAAAGAAGGACAAACAAACACACTTTCACATTTATAATATTAGTATTTGGATTTACCCCCGTTACCCCATTCTATACGAAGTAAATTAGTACAATAGAATACATATTAACATTTACAATTTTTTTTTTTAAATAATTGCGGTATATTGTTCATGCAGGTTATGTTCTATTTATATAGTATTTAAGCTTAACGAATGCGGCCAAATTCGAAGCCAAATCTAGTTTAGTTTTAATGGGGTCGGCTTATGAAACGTCTCGCTTGTTTACGATCGGTAAAATGTGATGTCGTGTTTATATAACAGCAGACGTTTGAGATCGTTTGGATTAAACATAATATTATGTTTTATTAATACTGGATGGCAAAAAAAATCGATGGATATATTAATTGAATTGAAATCATTAATCTATACTAATATTATAAATTCCGTATTATTTATATTGCCTTGGTGATGTAGTGGCTAGTATGTACGGCTGCACACCCGGAGGTCCTGGGTTCGAGTCCCGGGTCGGGCCAAGTTTAGTTATTGAGTCTTTCTGTATAGTAAGCCTAAGTAACAGCCCGGAGTTGGGAAGTTGGCGATGTTTCACCCCCGTGCCTCGGAGAGCACGTAAAGCCGTCGGTCCTGCGCCTTAACTCTCACTGGTCGTGTCGAGTGGTCGTCCCACCGGAGTATGAGAGTGACAGGAATAGAGAGTGCACTTGTGTCTGCGCGTACACTTGTGCACTATAATATCTCCAGCGCAGTTGGCTAGTCTCAATGAGATTGGCCGCCGTGGCCGGAATAGGTCAGGAGGACATCAATATTAATATTATGGATGTGAAAAATTGTGAGTATGTATGGATTTTTGTTACTCTTTCACGCTAGAACGGCTAAACGGATCTGGATGAAATTTGGCACAGAGATAGATTATAGTCTAGAATAACACATAGGCTACTTTTTATCCCGGAAAAATGTTCGGTTCCCGTGGGATAGGGTTGTTTTTGTATTCCGCTAGTTATATATAAATAAGAAATTTTGTGTGTGTATGTAACAGCTTGACTACGGAAGCTCACAAAACGTTAATTTTTTACAACTTCATTCACAAATACCTTCATACCGGTAACTTATTTTTGCAAAGTATTCATAAATTGTCTATATATATAATAAAATTCTGAGTCGAATTTGTATATTAAATATTTTTTGGAAAATCTTATTGAAATAGAAATTATTATTTATTATCGATACAGAGGACGAATCTATGGTTTGTAGAGTTTTTGTCTGTCTGTCTTTCTGTGACTGTATCACGAGAAAACTACCGGACCAATTTTGACGATTTTTTTATGATAATAGCTGGTTATCCGGGTTAACATATAGGATACTTTTTACTGCGGGAAAATATCTCATCTCTGAGAAATCAATACTAAACGTTAAAAAGTAACTAGGGTTGAACCTGAGCGGAGCGAGGATGAGTCGCTAGGAAGCTATATAATTATATATCTTCCTAGATAATCCCTCATGTTATAAGGAACATCGTATAAAAATTCGTAAAGTAGTTTCTGAGATTATCCCGAACAAACACAAGCTCTGCGCGGAGAAACACTTTCATTTATAAAGTGAAGTGTAGATGAAGCCATTTTGTGCTAACGACCTGAATTCTAGTAACGTTGTGTTTACATTACGCGGAACGTTTCTCTAATCTAAAATAATACCCCACCCAACCGCTAATGGACGGCAGGCTGATTTTGATTTATTTCTATAAAAATTTAAATTGCTGTTACACCAAAGTTCAAAGTCTTTAAATGTAAATAAGAATTAATATTATAGAATGAATTATAAATATTTATTTTTTTATACTTAGCGATTGATCAACTCACTTATATATACGTCCACTAGCGACTCACCCTGGCTCCGCTCGGGTTCGTTCCTAGGAACGTTTTGGCTGATAATATGGATATCAGAGATGAGATATTTTCCCGCAGTAAAAAGTATCCTATATGTTGACCCGGATAACCAGCTATCATCATACCAAATTTCATCAAAATATGTGTAGTGGTGTCCTCGTGATGCGTTCCCAGATAGACAGACAGACATACAGACACACATACAGACAGACAGGCACAAAAGTTCTAAAAACTATAGATTCGACCTGTGTATAATAATGACCATATCAATAAGATTTTCTAAAAAATATTGAAACTACAGATTTGACTCAGAATTTTATTATATGCATAGATATTGTCCATTTAACCACATTAAATTTTTAGCATGTACTTTTTCTGATCTCGAGTATAATGTATCCGATTTTACTCATAAAAATCTTTAAATTCAAACTGGCTGAAGACTTCTTTAAATTCATTTTATATTCATGTCTTTCCTAACATTTCTTATCACTCGCCAAGTCACTAAAGAAAGGTCTATACTATTTAATATAAGAAGTCAAATAGGTGTACTATTTAGGTTATCACAGACTTAAGTCTGCTTTCAAAAATTAAAGCATCTATACATATAATAAAATTGTAACTAAGCCGAATCTGTAATAATGCAAGTAATATGTGCGAAAATCAAAATTGTAACTTCTCTCGTATAATTTGTACAGCAGAAACATTAAGAAAAACACCTACACGTCAACAAATACATATATGTACATAAATATAAATACATTAAGGAATTTTATAATCTATAAGGAATTTTAATAATTCAATCAATAATTTTCCTCATATAAATGCAATTTTTTGAATCCATTCAATTTTCCTATCGCGTCTCACCAGGTTTCTGGAAGACCAAACACCTAACACCTAAAATCCGCCACACTGGCCGTCTACTTGGCGTCTTTCCAAATGTCAGAGATGAATTATACAGACTGCCCACAGGACGTTCACCTTCATTTTTTTAATTTGGATTTGTCTGGGATAAATACATAAAGTCTAGATATTCTAAAAAAAGCAAAATCAATTGTCAATATTCTTACGTTTCCATATGGCGATATGGACCGTGAAATAACGTGGGCTACTTTTAAACGTATTAAACTAAATGGTCCTATGAGGATTTTACAGGTAATATAAATGTCCTCCTGATCGATCTCGGTCACGGCGACCATTAAGACCAGTGATATGCGCAGGAGATATTAAAATGCACAACTATGCGCAAACACAAATAGAATTATTTATATACATATATGTGACAGTTTGTATGTATATATATTATATACGACACGTTTGGCTCAGTTTGTAGTGACCCTACTTGCTGTGCCAGTGATCGCGAGTTCTGGGGGCATTCATTTAAGTGATTAACACGAATTTTTGTACTCCAGTCACGTGTGTTTATATTTATTATATGTATGTACTTAAAGTTATATATATATATATATATATATATATATATATATATATATATATATATAGTGCATAAACTATCTGGTATCCATAACACAAGCCTCGTAGCTTACCATGGAACTAGATGCTGCTGTGTTAATTTTCCAACATATTTATTTATATCTATGTATGTTTTTATGTGTGTACGTGTGCATGTGTATGGATGAAATTATGATGGATTTGGATGAAATTAAGT